TCTCTGATAACAGCTTTTTAATTTTTAAACAGGGATTTTTTGCGATTCTCTGTTATTATTTATGTCCCTAAAGCATCACTCTTTTCTGCTCCCACTCTCACTCTCAATCATCTTGAACACACACCTTATGCACAGGTTCATGGAGTTCATCAACAGCTGTGGAAATTTGGCATCACAAACACTCACACACCACATGCATTCCCTGTTTTACGATGTTAAATCACAAACAGCCAACATTCTCACTATTTTCTCATCTGTTGCACAGCTGCTCCGTTTCTGTCTTCTCTCTAATCTGTTGCAACTTGGTATTGTATAATATTTAATGGGACCAATGATATTTTGTATGCAACATGCATTGATTTGTATTTATTTATATGTTTAGAGAAATTGCTGGTATAATATTGTTTAAAGGATACTACTGAAAATCTATGCAGATGGATTACATGAAATACTTGATTTGATGTCAAATTCATGTGAGTTTGACAAGTACATTAGTCATGTTAGGATAAAGCCAAAAAAAAGCAGGACCCAAAAATGTGTTTAATGTTTAAAAACAGCCATAACAGCTATCAGAAATGTCAGTTTCCAATACTCAGATATTCATCTTCATGCATCCTGCATGAGCATTCAGTAGTGAATGTTTACACACACACACACACGCATTAGCAGACATAGTGTGTAATGGCGCATTCTCGCTCTGCCTCGCTTGGTATGGCTAGGCCTCGTTAGGCCTTGTTAGGACTGGCTCACTTTATGCTGCATTTCCATTACAGTTTAGTAGCTGGGGCAGTAACTATAGTAACGCAGTGTAGGCGGAGCCGTGACGTCATCTTCAATGAGAACCACAGAAAAACAACATCAGCCGTTAGCTGTTAGCACTCAAGCTCACAGCTCCTCATATCTGTTCAGAAACTAGACAAAAGTTAAACAAGTACAAACCACAGACTGCCTGTGTCATGGCGAATACAGTCGCTGGTTTATTTATGTCTGTATAGGCCGTTGTTGTGAGTGTGGACGGTCGGAGCATATACTGCGTTAGCTTTAAAGAAAACACGCATTTTAAAAGGTTTTTTGCCTGCCGTCTGTCTGCAGACTTGTCAAAGCATTAATTCAAGGTTTTTACTAACCGGTATCAGTATGTTGTTACTTCGGCATCATTTTGAAACGTGTATTACAATTAAATCACGGTCAAATATGTTCATTTTGTTGTAGTTGTAGCCCCCTTGCCAGCGATTCTCTCTCTAATTTATACTCAGCCCGGTTGTTGGCCCGGAAAGAACCTGGATTTTATGGGGCCAGAAAAACTGTGAAATAGTACCCGCTAGCCGGAACTACGCTAAGTGGGAAACGCAACCAAAAACGGGCCAGCCACGGCATGCTTAAAGCGAGCTCCGCGCTGTAGTGGAAATGCGTCATAAGTGTGTAAATCTCCCTAGGGCCTAGGTGTTACCTAAATACAGCAGTATATAAACCTTTTGTACTCGGTCTTCCTCTAATCTGGGCATACAGAAACAGGGAATTAGATGGAGTCAGTTCATTAAGTAGGATGTCATAAGTACTCTTCTCAAACAGATGACTCACTGTCACTGTAAGCGAATTCCTCTCGGATTCATGACCTGCTTTTATTCCTCCGAAGTGTTTGTGTAGAGTCAGAGGGTTTACCTCAGGTGGACATGAGGGTGTGCCAGACAGTCTCCAACATGTCAATGTGTCTTTACATATTGGCTCCACTGCAGCATTAATGTTTGATTTTGCACCTTTAAAAAAAGCAGCAGAGTGAGATTGTTTCATTCATGAAAACAACATATGAAGCATAAACAGTAGAGACAATATACAAAGAAAATACAATGAGCTAAAACCTGTATAATGGAAATTCCCCAGGAGGTTCCAGTGACCCAGTTGGAAAGCCGTGAAAAGTTAAGGTTTAGAAGATTTTTATTAACACGATTGGACATGTTGAACACGTTCTCAATGCATGTCGGTAGGAGGGGCCGTACAGGCCGTAATTCATACTGGTCCTCTCATGCACATACATTCTCCTTTTACATACATATATTTTCACTAGGGATGCACGATAATTATCGGACCGATAATTATCGGTCCGATATTAGGAATTATGACGTCATCCCGATAAACCCGATACCAGTATTAATAGCCCCGATAATATACAATATATTTTTTGAGTAAAAAAAAAGAAAAAAATACTGCGGTGTGGGTGGATTGGGATGAGGGGCGCTTGTTTTTCACTCGGCTCCTCCCGTTTTGCCAGTACTGTGGTATTAGTGGTTTAGGAAGAGGGGAGTTTTTCACAAATCCAGCGCTCCCTAACTCATGCCTGGCTGTGACGTGAATGGTGTGCGGCCGTGAAGCCAGGACAGTAAACAAACATGTCGTCGGTGGTATGGGCGTTGGAGCTATGTGCAACTCAAGGCATATGCTCGAACCGGAGCTGCCTGGACGCTGCAATCATGTTGCGCACTATCCGTGCTGAATGTGCTGACTTTTCGTACAATGTCCCACTGTCTGGCTTCCTGCATAAAGTCAAGTGCTCGGCGCAGTTGTGGCGAAATGTCGCTCCTCTGTTTTCATTTAAACAGCTCCGTATATCCTTTAGCGCAGCTAGCTAGCACCAGATGCTAACAACAACAATGCACGTAAGGTCTCTCTCTCGTTCGCTCGGGCCACACATACACACACCCTCCCGGTCCTCCAGATGGCCAGTCGGTGCCTGCCAGTGAGCGTGGAAGTGTGGTCTGCCACAAGCGGGCGACAGGAGCGGGGCTGTCAGCATCAGCTTGTAGATGGTATTTTAAACTCGATGCGCTCTGAAACTACGGGGCGGCCGAGGAAAAAAAATACACATGCGTTAATCGCGTTAAAATAATTAGTGGCGTAACATTTTTTGTATTATCGGTCTTGAGAAGCAGGAAGTTATCGGTATCGGTTTCAAAAAACCAATATCGTGCATCCCTAATTTTCACTCTTACACACATATATTCTCCTTTTACATACACACATTTTCACTCTCACACACGTATATATTTACACTCACTACTAGTGTAACGGTTCACAGAAGTCACGGTTCGGTTCGTTTGGGGGTCATGGTTCGGTACGGTTCGGTACAACAAGAAAAAGCAAAAAAAACTCCCAAATGCATAATTCCAGGTTTGTTGTTATTTATGTTTGAACAGTAGTGCAAGTTTCAGTTTAAAAATAAGGAACTCTGACATTTTGAATAATTAACCGTATTAAACAGTTAAAAACAAACCATAAACAGTACCACACACACTCAGATGGCCATATTATCTATAATGGCTGATGTCAAACAAAAAGGTTTCATCAAGCTGTAAAGCTAAAAAGAATGTCTTGAAAATATTACATCATAAATATTAAGAAAGTGTTTCAAGAGCGCAAAGTCGTTGAAAAACATGCCAAAAGCTTCCGTTATTTATTTTGGTCTCACGGCTTTCACGTCTATTGGCTTCTTAAAAACAGCGGGGATCAGCTGTTGAACTGCTGTTGTCTTTTGCCGCTCTGGTGATTGGCAAATCTGGCTGATGCCTTCTGATATGATTTAGCATGTTTGGCGTGTGTTACCATTAGCATACCGCACCGCTATCGAACAACGCCGACACACCGTGCTCTTCCGATCCACCACTCGCACACTTCATCGTTATTGTAATCCACAGGGAACCCGAAATGTTCCCACACAGCTGATTTAAAAGAAGCAGGTGGGTTCTAGCTCCTGTGTTATCTGAAATCGCCATACTAACTTTTCTTCTTCTTGTATTTTGTTCGTTTTGTTGTTGTGTTTCTTCTTGTTCTTCATTTGTTGTTTAAGGGCGGCTGGCAAACAGCTTTTAGGCGCAATACCACCCCCTGGATTATATATAGTGTAGTGGATACTGCCCTGAATGACAGACCTTTTTCCCACTCGTAAAAGAAAAAGGCGTATTCGTCGTGTGACTGCGTGTGCCGAACCGTGACGGTACGGGACGAATACGGATACCGTTACACCCCTAACACTCACACATTCATACATTTTGCTCTCATATTCATATATTTTAATGCTCATATTTATACATTTTGCTCTCATGCACATTCATTCAATGTTTACACTTAATATTATAAATAATATATGCATGTCTGAAGACAATGTATGTATGTAAGAGAAGAATGTATGTGTGAGAGAAAGTATAGTGTAAACGGAAGGAGTATGGTTGAAACGGAAGGCAGGTCATTATCACGCTGTGATTGGCTCAGAAGGTCGAGCGGGGCGGGCTCATGTTCAGAACTTCGGATTCAAATCAACATGATGGAGGGAGATGAATCCGTGTATCTACGGACCATTTGTTTTCCTTTATTAAAAAAGTAAACGGAAGAGCGTCTGAGAGGCGTTTTTGCCCTTTTGCTTGTTACCTTACTAAATGGTCTAATGGTCATTGTAGCGAGGGGGGAGGGGGGGGGGGGTCCGCGAAACTCGCGGAAGTGATTTCAAAACAAAAAGCACTCGTTTGCTTGGAACAGTGATATTATAAACAAGGGGAAACTAGGGGAATTTCGCGATCACAACGAAAACGGCCAAGATTAGGAGATTTAAAAAAATCTAAGTTTCAATAATATTCTTTATTTTGCTTGAAATAAAAACTCTGAAGTCTCCTGAACAACACAACAATAAAGGTGTTATTTTAGCTTTTATATTTAAACTTGCTGCATTTGTTTCTGCAGTTGTAGCTGATGGCTCTTAATTGAACCTAGATTCCTAATTAACCCATTTTAAATGTAAAAATAAGTATTCCAAACAGCATTTTCGGTTAACAGAACGCTAAGAATGGCGTTCCTAGTTGAAGTGCATCTTGGGAGTTGTACTTAACTATTTCCACTTTGCTTTTGCTTATTGCATCTTTTAAATTAAAAGTCAGGCCTCTCTTTGGCGAGCTGGTGAGATAAAAGTATATGAATCATCTTCCCTGACGTTATTCTCGCTCCTCTGTCATCAGGCGCCGGTTATTGGAGTATCGCCTCCAGCTGAGGGCCAATCAGAGAACGACAGCGGAGTGGAGCTGACCAATGAAAACAGCCCTCTGACTGCGGCTGAACCGCCATCCCCCTTCAGCCCCAAGCAGAACGGAGACGCCGCCTCACCTCAAGGTAACACACACACACACACACACACACACACACACACACACACACACACACACACACACACACACACACACACACACACACACACACACACACACACACATACCTATCCAATCTACAATGTAGCCTGGTTGCACCTATTCTGGAAGTAAAAGGTAAAAGTAAAACACAGAGTTTTTGTAGCCTAAACAAACTTGAACCAAGATGGAAACACCTCTTTATTATTTCAACATTTTCAACGCCATTACACTACAGCTTCAATCATTCAGTTTTTACCTTTCATAATAAAAGCCCAACTTCAATCCATTCAGCATTTTTTATAAGAGGCAAATCAACAATGGATGCAGGAAGCTAAACCTCTTTTGCATCTGCTTTCTCATTTTATATAGCAAGCACTGAAGAATTTTCATTTACCATCAACAAGCGAAATCAACATAGATTGTGATATCTTTAAGGCTAGAATGTAACCCTTCATTTTTATAGTGTCGTTTTGCTTTGGACATGCTGTGTTACAGAGGCAAAACAACAAAGAATACAGTATGTGACTGTCTAGCCCGATATCTTGAAAATATTGGGTTTCTTTCGGGCCATCTGTCGAACCTTCTGTTGTTTTCTCTTCTCAGATGGCAACCAGTGTTTGGAGGGAAGCAGGAAAAGAAGCAGGAAGAAGTCAGTGGAAGAAGAGACTACCTGGGACTCCTACAGCGAGGTAAGACACACACAACTTACATAGAGGAAGTGTGTAAAAAAGCGATTTCTTGGAGAATTAATCCACTTTGTGTCTTTGTTTCCAGGAGAAAGCTGCAGGAGCGCCTCAGTTGAGTTTGAGGCAGACGCCCCGACCCAGGACGATCTTCCAGGCCGGTCTGAAGCCACACACACACAACAAACCTCGCAGACAGAGCCGCAAACAGGAGCACATCATGTTAATGGTAAACACACACACAAACCGTTTTCTGTTCTCCCCACATTAAATATTTCCATTTCCAAAGGCTGTGATGTTTATTTTAAAACACATTTTTAGTAAGCTACATTTCCTCCTTGTTTGTGCTTCTAAATGTGTAAATAATCTGCTTCCTGCTCATCAGCCAGGATAAACACAAACATGTTATTTTGACCCTTCATGCTTGCTGTAGTTACTGGTGCTTTTGCAAAGCAGTGGGAAAAAAAGGGTTTAAACAGTTCAATTTAGTTTTTTATTTCCCCACATCGTGGTGTAAACAAGAGGAATGTGTCCAAATCTATTGAATGGGCTTGAAAAAAACAATATGTCTTCCTTTTAAACCCTTGCCCATTTAAACTGTTAAACACATTACAGTAAAAAAACTTGGCAGTGTGTTTTCCTTTATTTATTGTTAATTGCCAGTAACTCCTCTTATATGAAATCTGATATTTTTTAATATGGTTTTGGACTGTATTTGATTACACATTTTTTTAAATGCTCTTGATAACAGCTGGAGGGCAAACCTTTTACTTGTAAGTACTCTGGGTGTTTCTCAATCTCGAGTAAAGCTGCTCCAGAGCCACTATTTCAAGAATACTACGACATCGAGTGCCGCCGAAGTATTGTTCCAATGTCCAGCATACTTGGAATTCTACCGAGCCCGGCGTACTTCGTTTGGAGAAATTTCGAGGCTGCACATGTGTAGACTCCGCGGTCTTAAAATCCCCACAATGCTTTGCGCACGGACCAATTTCCCCAAATCTGTGGCGGAAAATGTAAGGCGGGGCCTCTCATATGATGCACACCTGCACACTTGCTCGCCTGTTCCACTCTTCGTTTTCCGAATGCCAGGAAGTATTCTTGCCTCGCTTCTGAAGCAAGTAACTCGGAAGACATGTGCTACCAAGCAAGCGTACTCGAGATTGAGAAACACCCATTCTCTCTGTGTCAATCCATTTACTTTACTGATGCCCTGGTTATATGCAGACACAACACAGAGTTGAAAGCAATAACTGAAACCACCTTTGAAGAAGCTGCAGTGTTTAAAAGGGGAGATTACCTGGAGTGTGTGTGTGTCTTTCTGTGTGTGGCCAATATTTGATCTGTGTTTGCTTTACTCACAGCTTGTCGTCAGTGCTTCTAAAAAAAAAAACACTAAAACTGTTATTTCTCCGTCATTGGGCAAACATTCCATACAAATCTTTCATTTTGTTATTCAAGTGGTACCCCATGGTAGGCACTTTTTTGGAAGAGGCAAATTAACCAACAGAATTTTTATTAAATACAGTCCTGTTAATGCAGCTCTTCTTCTTGCAGTAACAGTAACCTGTACAAGTACTACTCGTTCTTTTCAAACCTCTTTAAAGTGACACACTGATTAGCTAGCTTCAATATCAGCATTAAAACATATGTAAAGAACATGCTAATAGTTTAGCTCGCTGCTTAGCCGGTTCTGGTTTGAAAAGTTGCTAATAGTTTAGCCTCATTTTAACTTTAGCCGTGAGCTAGCAGCAAACGTTAGCCGATGCTTCAGTTAGCATGAGGTGTATTTGTACTTGACTGACCTTTTTGAGCCACGCTTGAATTAGTTTGTCTTCCTTTTTATGCTTGGTACAGTTAGTAGTGAGGGCAGCTCCAATGCTGGAATAGCAGCTTTTCCTTCAGGATCCTCATCTAACTATCACCAATTGATTGATTAGCCAATAAGACCGTTCTTACTCTGAAATTAGAGTTTGGTAAAAGCCTGAAAAATGTGCCAGGAGAGGAGTTGAAGAAGTCTAGTAGCATGCTGAAGGTTTATTTATAGAATATTTGCCAAATGACTCCCAAAAGAATACTGCTTACCACGGCTTTAAAAGCTCGGGGAAATTATATCTGAAAAGAAAAGTAGCTTTCATGTCTTTCTCTATCTTTCGCTCTCATTCCTTTAAGTCTAATAAACCTCTCTTTTATGTCTCCCTTTGTCAGTCTGGAAGGGCTGGAGGTGTTGGAAGTGTTCCCCGGGTGGCTGCAGTTGTATCCGGCAGCGTTCCTAATACCCCTCATATGGAGCTGATGGAGCAAAACTCCAAGGACTCGGCTCAGAGCATCAGCACCTCGTCCAGCTCTGAGATCCAGCCAGAGTACAATGTAAGATCTGTGAGAGAGAGAGAGAGTTTGCAGGGGGAAGGACGGGGGGTTAGATTCAGATAACAGAACTAGAATCTAAACTCATAGGGGCAGATAGAGGTATTTGAAGATCTTCAAAGAAATGGATAGAAAACCCACAAAACAGGATGTCTGCACTGAAGGTGTTTAACATATCCTACTAAGCAAACAGTTTTTGAAAGCACTACTGTGAATAGTTGAGTTTAAGAAGCAAAACATGTTCCCAAATAACTTGGTTCTAGTTGAGGTATATGTGTATGCCCAGTGCTTTCTGCATCAGTAGATTTTAGGTTTTATGTTTAATTTTCCTGCACATTTCAGCCAATTGTTAGCAATCGTGGTATCTTAAGTATTTGTTGTTTTGATAGGCTACATAGTCATCTTAGAGTTGGCTGCCAAATTCGTCTTTTAGGTAGCGCTCCTGCAACATGGTTTATATTAAAGAGCATTTCCTCTGAAGTCTGAGACACTTTAAAATTTGGATAAAGTAATGCCACGGACAGGATTAAGGTATTCTCTTAAATAATACAGCCTTTCTGAGCACTTTCTTCACTTGAAGCCTCCTGTGAAGGCTTAAGGACCGCCAAGAGAGAAGAAGAAGAAGAGAGAAGAGATAGAGAGAGAAGAGAGATGCAGAGAGATAGAGAGAGAGAGAGAGAGGAGAGAGCTATAGAGAGCTCACGCGAGGATCTGCTCTCTCATCGCTCTCTGCTCTCGCTCTCGCTCTATCTATCTCCTCTCTCTCGCTCTCTCCTCTCTCTCGCTCTCTCTCTCTCTCTTCTCTCTCTCTCTCTCGCTCTCTGCCCTCTTTTTTGGAGCCAGCTGTTTTCCCAGTATTGGTAGCTCTCTTTTAGAAAGGGGAATGAGGTTTGGCAGTGATAGAAAGAGGGGAAAGTAAACTCCCCTCTCCGACCTCAGAGCCTCCTCCACCTGGCCTTGTGTTGGTGCAGGTGGCCAAACACCCACACACACACACACACACACATAATCTGGCAGTATTTGCTCTGTATCAATAGCTTCTTTCAGGTCACGAAGACCGCGAGGACCTGTGTGTGTGTGTGTGTTGTGTGCATATCTGCATGTCCTTCTGCACGTCTCAGGTCTGGGTGCACACTGTCTTTCAGTACACAGGCTTTCTATGTGTATGTTAATGCGAGAGTAAGAATATAACAGAACATTTGTATCATGTACTGTGCTTGAGTACAGCTTTGGGTTACTTTTACTTTAATTTATATTTTCTTGTCATGAAATGTTCTACTCCACTACAAGAGTTTGAGTATAAAAGCACATTTTTATCATCATTTAAATATTTATTTGAATGCAAAATACATTTCATGATCCTACTTTCCTATTTAAAAATGTTAACATGTTTTATTTAGTTGAGGTTCATTGTGAAATTGTTATTGGAGTCTTAGTAGTTTCTGATGCCACATCTCACTAAATGGAGAGGATACCAATATAATTGTCAAATATCTACTAGCATAACATTCCCAAAGGAAAATGTTTCTGCATTAAGTACTTTTACTTTTAATACATTTTCGTATTTATCTTACATACCTTTACCCAAGTAACATTTTCAATCCAGGACTACATAGTATTTAACGGAGTGTGAATACTTCCTTCACCACTGGTTAATGTGTGTGTTTAGGTTTGTTTTCTCTGGATCCAGGCAGGACTCAGTGGAGCGTAGCATCCTTTAGAGGAGTCGGACTCCTTTACAAAGCCTAATGGGTTTTTCTCTCTTAAGGCGGACTGAAGGATCACATATCCTGGGCTCAACTTGGATTTGTTTGCAAGCATAGAAATCCCACCTGCTCATAAATCAGTACACATAACTTGAGAAAGAAAGAAGGCGAGATACAAAAAAAGGTTTAATAAGGGTATTACCGTTTGAAGTTTTCTTTGAAGACTGAAGTGCAAGGCAAAAATAATAGAAACACCTGAGCAAATGAGATCACAATGAGTTTTCAGACAGCTGTAAAGTGATTTTGTTATGCTTTAAAGATCTGTTTAATCTTGAGACAATTCAGTTTTGACTCATGCAAGGGAAACTTCCTATTGTTTTTCTTTCTTCCACATAAAGGTAAATGTCACGGTCAGCTGTGAAGTCCAGTTTTAGATTTTACATCTAATTTAATACCAACATACTTAAAGTGTATTTTTTTCATGTCAAGTAGGGTACAGGAGATGTTTCTTTCCTCAAATGTTAGCTCGTATTCCCACACTAATTTGTCCCTTTTCCAACAAAACATTTGATTTGGTAGTCTGGAGTAGAGAGAGGGAGGACTTTCCCAAAATCTTTGTGATATCTTAATCCACTATAAAAATGTTCTGTGATTTGTGTTTGTGTTTTAATTAGTTGTCTTCCTATCTCCTTTCCTCATGTTAAACACAGTTAAACTACTTTTGAAATAGAATAAAGCTATTTTCATTATCTACTCATTCTACCCACAGAGGGTTATCATATAAGAGAAAGTTGGAATGGTTCTTCTAAAATAACTCTTGTTTTCTCTTTTAAACATCTTTGTCTCAGGCCAAATTTTTTCGAATTGGCAGACTAAAATATGGTCATGGGATTTTCCGTCAACCCATCCATATGAGACTTCTTATCTTCATGTTTCCTCTTTTCTGGCTCCACTCGTGTTTCCTCCTTTCTTTAAGACAGGCTAACAAGAAGTTGTTTTTGCCAAAGTCTCCTGTTATCTCTTCTTTCTCCTTTTCACCTCCAGTACCAGGGAAAGGGAGAGTGTTCCCAAAAAGGTCAAATCACTAACTTGGCCCTCATCTCTGCATTTGTGTTCTCTCTTTCTGCACTTCACAAGACCTTTTTTTTTTAATCAGTGGCCTTATTCTCTTCTCATCTGTATTCTCCCTCCACCTTCCAGGACAACAAGGGGTTTGGCCTCGGTGAGCTGGTGTGGGGGAAGATTAAGGGTTTCTCCTGGTGGCCCGGCATCGTGGTGACGTGGCGCGCTACTGGCAAGCGGCAGGCCAGCCACGGCATGAGGTGGCTGCAGTGGTTTGGAGACGGCAAGTTCTCTGAGGTGAGGGCGGAAAAGGAAATTGTAATGGAAATGTACTGAGACTATGTCCTAACAAAGAACTGTATGTACTGACAAAGAACTGTCCTATCATCATCACCTTAAATTAGTCCTGGAGAAATTTAAATATCACACTATTTCTCATCACTAATCCATTATAGATATTATGAGGATATTGTTAAGTGGACTATTGGTGCTTTCACAATATATTTCGTAACAAGATTTATGATAAATAATCCTCAGTAATGTGGATTTAATTACTAAGTGGGTGAAGGCAGTTTGACGATCATGTAGAACAGTTGGGTTAGTTCAGAAAATGACTTTACTTTACTGTAATCCAGCTTTATAAAACCAGGAATAGACACTTATGGCATTTCACAATATCCAAATGATATGTAGTCTCTTATCAATATAAAATTGATATATTGCCCAGCCATAGTTCAAACTGTGGGAGAACACTATTGTCTGACCTGTGTATGTCCTTGGTTTGCTTCATTTGTCCTAACTAGTTGAACGTGGTTATTTGTATCACTTTTGGTTGTTGTTATTATCTTTCTGGAGCAGATGCCCCCATCCTGCAATCACAAGGTTCAACGGTTTCCTATAAAGCTATGCAGCTAGAGGTTTCTCTGTGTCGGTCACTGCAGATTGATTCTGTTTATTTAAACCCCTCTGCAAGAGTTTTATCTTTAGTAAACATAAAAAGACATGTTGTTGGTTGACAAGTTCAGCATTTTTGTAGGAGGGACGGAGAGGGACATTTTGTTAAAGTTGTACTTGCTGTGATGCCGTGTGTTTTCTCTCCAGGTTTCTGCAGATAAACTGGACTCCATCACCGCCTTCCCCAAGTTCTTCAGCCAGCCTTCCTACACCAAGCTGGCCTCGTACCGCAGGGCCATCTTCCAAGCTCTGGAGGTGAGTGTCAACGTGTAGAAAAAACACTTAGTCTTTACTTGAACTGTCTCCTTCTTCTCCTATTTCCTCTGCTTCTTCTTCTTCTTGTCCTATTTCTGCTTATTTTTCCTTTTCTTTTTGTCTTTCTTCTTTTTTGTTCTTTTCCTATTTCATCTTCTCCTTATTTTTTTAAGTACAGGTGTCTCCAATTACTTTGACTGTGTGTGTGTGTGTGTGTGTGTGTGTGTGTGTGTGTGTGTGTGTGTGTGTGTGTGTGTGTGTGGTGTGTGTGTGTGTGTGTGTGTGTGTGTGTGTGTGTGTGTGTGTGTGTGTGTGTGTGTGTGTGTGTGTGTGTGTGTGTGCGTGCGTGTGTGTGTGTGTGCATGGGTATGAGTTTGGGAGGTGTTAGCGGCTTATTACGTTAAAGATCTGTTGCAAAAACAGGCTGTTTGAAAAAAAACACTGGTTCAAGATTTTTTACGGTTTGTGTGTGTGCACGTGCCAAATAAACACACACAGCATGTGCATGTCTAAAAGAGGTTCTTACTCACTATCACTGTCTCATCATGTCATGAAATGAGATTGAAGAGGGGAAAAAATTATAAATGGGAAAACGAATACCTTTTGGGCATTTACGCAAAAGACATATTGACTCCAAACGTGTGTAAAAGACAGACAGGCTTGGCAGTGGTGGCTGGTGGAAAATATTTTAGGTGGGACTGTGGAAATGGTGACCAAACAATACTAGGGGGGTCCGGGGGGATGCTCCCCCGGTAAAAGAAATTGAGAAAAGACCCCTTAAATTATGACTTCTGGTGATGTTAGAGGGGGGAAAGGACAAATTGAGGCTTAAAAATATGAGAAGACTGATCAATACCTCCATAATCTTCAGTGTGGTTAGCTATGAATCATCCAAAACTTCCAAACACCTTGTCCTGGACATAGTTTCTACAGCATAAACTGTGCAACAGTACAGTAGGCCCACACAAACTGCAGAACACCGGGGCTTTGGGAACACTCAAAATTACTTAAAATGATTTAATTCCCATTTAACCTGTTAAGGGGCTTTTTTCCCCCGTTTTTTTTCTCACGAAACTGTAATTAATAATATGTAATAAACTATTCATGTGTCCTGCTCATTTAACAGGAAGAAACTCAGCTAACTGATGATATGAAACATGTTTACCGAAACAAAACACAAGTCTCACAAGAAGCGTCTAAATGAGCCCTGAGCGGAAAAATGCTAACGCACTCTAGGTATAAATCAATCGATATACTTATAGGATATGCACAAACAAGCATAGCTAACAAGCTGAGATTCCACAGATTCTAGAAATACAAGTATCATCACTGAGCGATCAGAACTCGCGACGGGGGAAGCAAACACAGACATCACACGACGTAGCTTTAGGTCGCAAAACACGGAGATATGCTCACCTTTTGCTGTTATTCTGATCAAAAACGAGAAAAACGCGGCTGAAGGTTAATCCATAGGTTAATCCAATGTGTCTGTCAGTTTGAAAAAACGATTGATAATCCATAATTCCATTTTTATGTCAAAAACTGAGTTTTCATTAGCTGCTAATGATAGCTTCCAGAGTGAATGACAGCTTCCTGTTTTGTCTCCTTGGATACGAGTCCAAACAACTCAGAGTCGTCAAATCTGATGGTCACAGGGCGCTGACGTAGGCGCCCTGTGACCATCAGATTTGACGACGCTGATTGGCTGAAATTATGTTTTGGCGGCATAGTTTAAAGATAGCAACAGTTGGCTTCTGCTGCACTTGCTGCACTCTCGTCTGGGCGCTGTGCATAGCGTCCAGACGAGAGGATAATGATACACGGGCAAAGCCAGGCAAGAAACATGTGACTTATCAGTAACTTTAGACATCGTAACACAATTTTAAACGAGATTTTATTGTAGATTATACATTTTACTGATACCAATTATATAATATTTACCTTGTTCATAACAAATAAAAAAAAAAAAAAATTTTAAATATATTTTTTTATTTTTAATGTGGGAAGAGGGGCCCCTATGGGCCGGCCGCCACTGCTGGCAGATGTCCTAATTTACTGTGTTTGGAAACCCCTCATAAGTTTTACTTTCTTTCTTTCATTGCACTTTCGTGTTTTTACTACAGTGATGTGTGTTTTTGGAGACTCTTTCCCTGTATGTGTCTTCTTACGGCCCCTACACACGGCGGCGTGCGTTGCCGCTTCAACGCTTCTGCCCATTCACTTTGAATGGGGTGACGTCACAATTCGCCGAACTGCATTGTGGGAGCAAAGCGTAGCTTCTCTCGCGGTGCTCGCTGAAAAAGTAGAGCAATGTTCTACTTTTGCCGCCTCGACGGAGGCGTCAGCCAATCGAATCCCGCGTATGCAAATCTGACAGTACAAGCGCTAGCCAATCAAACCGCGTGTATGCTGGGAGAGCCAGACTGCAGTTATTTCCCATATGTCAAAAAATGGAGGAGAAAATTATCGTGGTGGTAGGGAATCACCGGTATATGACCAGTCCCTCTTTACATACAGGGATAAAAACCGGAGGAGCCAGGCATGGGGGGAGGTGGCAGAGACAGTGGGTGAAACTGGTAGGTTTTCACCTGTTTGGGGAGTTTATATCCAGTGTACTTCATTTGAATGGACAGCTAGCAAGCATAGACAGTATATTTAGCCAGCATGGATGTAGCATGAATGCTTTGCTTTGTATGTTCGGGGCGGGACATTCATGTGATTGGTTGTTGGTCGCGTTGCTCACGTTGACTCCCCAAGCTCAAGACACGCCCACCGCCAAGCGGCAACGCACACCGCCGTGTGTAGGCTCCATTAGGGTGCATTCACACCTAATAGTCAGCTTCTCTGGTGCGCACCAGACCACAGTTTGTTACATTGTGTCATTTTTCAGAAGGTTCGGTTTGCGTTCATACTTCATACCATAGGTTCATACGGGCAAAACTCAAACGGACTATAAACTTTAAACACAAGTCATGTGCACGGAAATTCTGTTCAACCATTAAGGGGGTAAAAACGCAAATCCCGGCAATTTCTACTGGAGCCTCCGCCATGGAGCATCGGCACTTTCGGCAGGTTATTCTCATGCTGCTGTTAATCTGGAGATCAACAGACTCTAGCGGCCCGCGCATATGATTATATAATCAGACAACGTCCGTTAAAAAACATTATAACATATAATGAGAGACGTTCTGCAGTAAGGAGGGGCGTTTCACCGACGACAGGTGTACTTACTTTCATGTAGTTGACGGAGCATTTGTACTGTTACGACACTGTTCAACACTTAATTCTGGTTCACTCTTTAACTAAACAACCGTGGATGTCTTGAAAGACTCTTTCGGTAAAGATTTTTGAAGACATCCGCATTCTTGTGACACGTAAATACTACGCTTCGTATGTTTTGGTGCGGACTGCGTTCACACCAGCAATGAACCGCTCCAGAGTTCGCAAGCAAGCGTTCCGAGACCACCTATTTTAGCGGACCAGAGTCCGGTTGTTTGGTTCATTTAAGAGGTCTCGGACTGTGTTCACACCGACCCAAATGAACCGCGCTAAGCGCACCAGGGTTCAATTCAACCGGACTATAAAAGGCCGGTGTGAATGCGCCCTTAAAGACATGTAGTTACAGAGTATTGTTTCTGTCAGCGCTGTGATTCAGTGCAGACACTCTGACTGCAGGCCTCTTCATGCTGCTGTTATCTCTCTCTCTCCTTGTGGCAGTGCTTTGTTTTCATTGCTTCGTTCACCTTGTTTCACCTTGACATACTGTCATCACTCCTCAACTGTCAGTCAGATGTCTTCAAAAGATAAAATCTTTCTCTTTTACCTTATCTCTATCCGTCAATCTTACGTCTGTGTACTTAAAGGATTAGTACGGAGCCCTGGAGGGTTCATAGAGAGAAAAATAAATAAAACGAGGTCATGTTTTATTAATTCGTGCGCACGAGATGTAATTCGTGGCCTCAATTTAAATAGAACGAGGCCACGTTTTATTAATTTGTGCGCACGATTTACGTACTTATGGTTAGACACATCGAACTGCCCGATTATTACGCCATATTATTAGTTTTATGAAGATGTCCGGTCGCCAGGGCGTGTGTGTGTGTGTCTGTCTGTGTGTGTGTGTGGGCATTTGTTTTCAGAAGATATTATGATAGTGGCGTTTGTTCCGGTGCATTCCGACAGCATTTAGCACTAGCCTACATCGAGATTAAGATTAAACGAACTTCTTTCACACGTGTGAAATTACTGTTCATGGTAATTTGAAAACAAATGCCGGTGTCGGGGACACATACACACCGAACACACACACCCACACAGAGCTGAGCAGAACACAAACACACACACATCATGTAGCATTTCACGTTTCCATAGCAACAACCATTTCCTGTCAACAGCTTAAACTCGCCTTCAAAATAAAAGCATCTAAATAAAACAGGAAGTTAACCTAAATTACATTTAAGACATATACAACTGCAACGAAAGTAACAAAAACAATGTCATATCCTTTTCAGTTTCTCAGAACACAAATTGGGTTATTTACATATCATGCGCCCTGGTGACCAGACATCTCCTTCATAAAACGAGTAATAGGGGGAATAATCGGGAAGTTCTATGTGTGTAGAGGTGTGTGTGTGTGTGTGTGGCTAAAACGTAGCAGCCTCGATCTCTATTCAGATGTTCTGAAGGTAAACACAGTGAAGGCGCTGCGTAAAAGACACAGCTCTCTGCGCGCAGATAGCAGATACTGTGAGAGTCACGGACATGAATTCATAGATCAAGGCAGACTGCTTCACAGACTCTCCTGTTTTGCGAATCCGGTGCTTAAACAAATATAGCTCTACACCTCTAGCCGAAATGTCCCTAAAATGAAGTCCGAGTTTGAAATATATCTCAAATAATGTATGCACTGCCATTTCCCCACATAAACATAACAGTCTGCGATGAAACGGTTGTCTCCTGTGCGCTCCACTTCCTACTTGGTGCACCGGTAACTTTTTCGTGCGGACAAGAAAGTATATTGTGCGCACGAATGAATAAAGTGTAGCCTCGTTTTATTTAAATTGAGGCCACGAATTACATCTCCTGCGCACGAATTACATCTTGTGCGCACAAATTAATAAAACGTGGCCTCGTTTTATTTATTTTTTTCTCTCTATGAACCCTCCGGGGCTCCGTAGATTAGAAACGAGGAGGAAATGTAACCATTTAAAACTTGGGTAAATTACATTTCTTGCTCATTAAAACTTTATTAGACCTGTTATTGTATGACGATGCATCTTTACATGGTGTTCTAATATTTATAAAATGACACTGATTTGCCTATTGATGGCGCTAGGTTCTAAGTTAATCTTTCCCCAAGTCAAATACAACATTAACATGTTTCTTACACATTTATTCATTAGTCAGGATGATTCAATTATAAAATATCAGCTTATAACACTGACGGAGGACATTTGCTGCATACTTGAAGCACGTTTTGATGATATTACGTCTGGCCTTGAGAACTTGTTTTTAAATCAAGGAATTTTGATTATAAGCATGCATTACAGTGTGGTATTACTATGTTGTACAGGATTGGAATAGTCCTTTACCTTTTCAACTACCTTCATATCACCTTGTGAACTACATTTGTTGTCAACTTTAGCTTTTTGTCTCACATTGTGTCACATCTCTTCATCACAGATGTCCAGTATCCGGGCGGAGAATAAGTTTCCTCCCTGCGAGTCGGACAATCCAGAAGACCAGGTCAAACCCATGCTGGACTGGGCCAACGGCGGCTTCCTGCCCAAAGGAGGGGAGGGACTCAAACCCACACACAGTGCCGGTGAGAAAGGCAGCAGCAAACCAGTCGTATAAACCACTTCCAAATGTCTCGTCCACAGAGGAATAAGAGTTGTTCTGTTTTTGTGTCTCCCTGCAGACAGTAACCCTCTGGACCACCAGGTCCTCGATGTTTCGCTGCCCGAGTATTTCCCCAGCGCCAAGCGGCCCAGAGTCAGCCTCTGTAAGGGCAAGGCCGCCCCTGAGGAGACATACAGCAGAGGTACTTTGACACTCTAATAAATAATAAGTACAGTGTTTTTAGTTTCCTTGCTTTATGTCAAAAAATATGTTATTATGGTTGTGTTATTATTTCTGATATTTTCCATTTCTGTTTGGCTGCACAAAAAAAAAAAAACACATGCGCAACACAAGGTGCTGAACACTGTAAAGCAAATAAAATGTTTGTCTATTTATAACATCTAAACGTTGACTTTCCTTTTCCTCTCAGAACAAATGGTGAATGAAGTTCTAAAGAATAACAGAAGTATAGAAGGTATGAACGCTTTGACATTGTTTATTACATGAATTATTAGTTCTGTTATTCCTCCTTTTTTCACTGTTGATTGATGTGTGTGTGTTTCTTCTTGCGTGTATTTTGGCAGAGTTCTGTCTCTCTTGTGGAAAGACGAGAGTAGCAACTTTCCACCCGCTCTTTAACGGAGGCCTGTGCCAAAATTGCAAGGTAATACAATTCTAAAAACATGGATTACTTTGACGGATCAGAAGCTTTTCCTAACGGGTTCCTTAGGATGTTCCTTTCTTCTCAGTTGCGTTGATCATGTGTGTGGTGCATTCAGGGTTCCTTGTCAACAGAACTTTGTTGCCCTACTATTAAAAGTGATAATGGATCCATTTCATTTGTTATCTAGTTCCAAGGCTTTGGGAATGGGACATATACTTTAAAGATAATACAGATATCTTAAAGGTTTCTCGCTTCAAGAAGTCCCATTGTCTAATAAGACCTTTTTTTAACTTTGGATTCACATTGGGTTAACTTAAACATGTAAAATACTCAACAAATAATCATGATTACTGAGTGTGCAAATAGTGATATATGACTGAATGAATGATGACAAACTGGGAAATTGTTCACCAGATGAACATATGATTAACCTAATTAACTGTTAATTGTTTTTATTTTTTTATATATTTTCTTTAAATTGTTTCTGCAGTGTTTGAGGGATTCACTAGAGTGATATGTCAATTATGGCTGCGCAATATATTGATGTATTGTCAATATATTGATGTATTGTCAATATATTGATGTATGTCAATATTGTGATATGAAACTAGATATTGTCTTACATTCTGGATACCGTAATAGTGCACGATGGTCTTTTCCTGGTTTTAATCACAGTAAATGGATGTTATGGATTATCACTGATGATTATTGATAATATAATAAATATTTTAAAATGTCAATAATGGTGTCTGTATTCAGGACGTGTACCTGGAGATTTCCTACATGTATGACGATGACGGTTACCAGTCCTACTGCACTATCTGCTGTGGAGGGAGAGAGGTGCTGCTCTGTGGAAACGCCAACTGCTGCAGGTCCGACACACACACACACACACACACACACAAGAAACAGTACATACAATACGTGTAATACTCCTCCTCGTCATGTTTTTCTGCCTGTTCACCTCCTCTCCTCTCCTGCAGGTGTTTCTGCGTGGACTGTTTGGACATCCTGGTGGATCCCGGAGCGTCGAACAGCGCTCGCCACCTGGACCCGTGGCGCTGCTACATGTGCCAGCCGCTGCTGCAGTACGGCGTCCTGAAGCGACGGCATGACTGGAGCCTTAAGCTGCAGGAGTTCTTCGCTAAGGACAGCGGACAGGAGTTTGTGAGATATCTTCTATAATAATCAAATGCACAATCCCCCTAACCGTATGACACTTTTTACATCACAGAGCAACTGTTATTACATTTCACCTCAATATAATGCTTTTTGAAATGTAATGATCAGAAAATGTATTTGGTCATTGTTGACAGATATTTTACCCCTGCGATAACTACTGCAATACTGACGTAAAGTAAAATAAATACAGTGTTTCCCACAGAATTAGATTCTAGTTGTGGGGCACCGCAAGACATACACCTTATAACAAAGGGTTGTTGTTGAGTCATTTTCTTGTTGTTGTATTTGTTTGACAGTTCCCACAGATACAAAGAGAGTTTACTGAAGGATACAAAACAAACTTGCTAATAAGCCTACTAGATGCTAAATGATCTTCTGATTTTCTTCCAGGAGTCACCAAAGAGGTTCCAAGCAGTCCCCGCAGAGCAGAGACGACCAATCAGAGTCCTCTCCCTGTTTGACGGCATTGCCACAGGTGAGGATGACTGTGAGAATGATAAGAGAGAGATGATGAATACATGTTATCTTAAACCACTTGCTTTTTATTTCAATTTAAGTTCATTCACCAACACTTAAATCAGTTTAAAGTATAATGATGAGACATAATGGAGATATGTGAAATTGGACAACCAGATAAACTGTCTGACACTAAAAATAATGTTTGTAAAACATGTCTACAATTGGACTGAGTTCATGTATTACACAGAAACATTTAAAAGCTAAAAACCCCTTATAATAACCAAATACCCTAAAAACTAAACTAATCCTACCGTAAATACCAAATGGTCCCAAAAATGTATTTCGTTAGTCTAAACATTGGTTTAATGCCGCTATGATAAAATAAACAGACAAATGGAAAATATTGGTACAATTAAATGCATTTCTCTGTTTCCAGGCTACCTGGTTTTAAGGGATTTAGGTTTTAAGGTGGACCAGTACGTGGCGTCAGAGGTGTGTGAGGAATCCATCTCAGTGGGCGTTGTCCGACATGAAGGAAAGATCCAGTATGTGCACGATGTCAGGAACATCAGTAAGAAAAATGTAAGTAAAGGACATTCTTAACCTGTTAAAGTACAATAACTGACAACAAAACACCTTTATATCTTAATATCTGTCTTTCTAACACTTGGTGGTGCTGTTTTCTCTCAGCTCATGGACTGGGGTCCATTCGATCTGGTGATTGGAGGAAGTCCCTGCAATGACCTGTCGATCGTCAATCCTGCCAGGAAAGGGCTCTTTGGTAAGAACCTGCCGAGAGGAATCATACCAACATTAATAAAACAACACTTTTGAGTTCAGTTAAAGGTCCCATGTCATGGCCATTTCTACTGATCATAATTCCATTGTTGAGGTCTACTAGAATAGATTTATATTGTGCAATTTTCAAACTCACATTGGTTTCTCATACAGCATCTCTGTATAGTATGTGTATTCACTCTCTGTCCTAAACGGCTTGTTGGAGCCCCTGCCCCCCCCCCTCCCTGTGAGCCCAGTGGCCGTCTGTGAGACCAGGGTCGGCTCTAGAACAAATCGAATGGGGGGGCAATCATTTACCAAGGGGGGGCACACACTGCCGTCAACAACCAACACACAAACACCAACGCAACTTCAATTTAAAAAAACATGCTGTAAAGTCTATTGTCTTTCACACACATTGCAGGGGTGTAGTGCTATTTCCTAGCGCACCTATGACTTGTGCATACATGCACGGTTGTGGCACGACCACCAAAACAGAAACATATAAGGACAGAGGGTGTCGTTTTCCCATACTGATATTCTGCACAAACTGTGCTGTTGTATTTACTGTAAAGTGTCTTTACTGTAGGTTATTTTTTATTATATGTACAGCACTTTGGCTCCACCAAAAATCGTTGAAAAATGTGTTATATAAATAAAACTTGATTTGATTTGATATGGACATAGGCCACCATATAAAAAGTGTCCAAATGTATTTAGTATCCTATCCATGTGAACATGTTTTAGGTGGGGGTGGACCTAACCTCCTCTAGGAGGGTCTGGGGGCATGCTCCCCCGGGAAGATTATTTTTAAAATATTGAAGTTAAATGCATCAATCTGGTGCACTTTGAGAGCAAAATGAAGAGATCTATGGATAGCCTACATCTCTCAGCATCCATATGAAACAGAACTGTACACAGATTTACTTTTTCTTTATGGATATTTTACTAATCATTCCCCTTTTAAACTGTATTCTTGTGTTACTGTCCTATAGTATTTCATACCCGTTTTTAATTTATTCTCTCTTTAATAACTATAATGATCATATAAAGGTATTCCTCGAAAATACTTACATAAATGGTGACCAAACCGTTTGAGACCCACTGAGATAACCTACACTAAAGTGAACTATCTAAACACTGAGAGAGTCCTTACCTCACTGAGCTGACGTTATAAGATCCTCACAGTCTGACAGGAGAGGACTCTTCTCCACCTTGGTGTAGAAACAGCCCTTTATATCCGTTAGCATAGCTAGCTAACCAGAAGCTAACAACAACATTCCACGTTACCGCTCGCGCACTCACAAAATGCGCTCGTGCCACACACACAGAGAGCCGAGCTTGAATGAAACACAGAGACCCATGTACTTGTACTGTATTGTATATCATATTATTTTCGATGGCTTTACTGTATAATCAGTGTAACAGATGAACAGATCGCCACTGAGCTTTCATCTAAACACACAGCCAAGTAATGATAACAAAAAAAAGGTCGGGGGTCATTGGTCAAGCAACACACCAATCAGAGAGCAGCAGTGAGCACACCTCAGGCTGTGTTTTATATTTGTATTCTTTATTTCTGATGTATTTCACACAAAAAACCTTTAGTGGAAACGTTTTCACTTATATGATTAGAAAAAGAAAAAAAACGGCAAAGTGGCAAGGCTTGCCAACCCTGCGTTGGGGGGGCACAGTGACTCATTTGGGGGGGCATGGCCCGCAAATGACCCCCCATGACGCCGACCCTGTGTGAGACACAGCGAAACCTAGCCCGAACACACACACACACACACACCTGCAGCCTGGCTGTGAGTCAGTGTGTGTGTGCTCACACACAAACTCACAGCCTCGCCACGTCCCGCCGTCTCAGAGAGGAGAAATCGGCGGAGCTGCAGCTGAGAAAAGATTGAGTGTGTGTGTGGATTGGTCAATTTGGACCAATCCACAGACTTAACCTAACGGCTCTGCGGATGTAACTTAACGGCTCCACGGATTGGTCCATTTGGATATGGGCACGTCACTGTACCCAGGAAGAAAACAAGAAATCTCCAACGAGGCGTTCTGGGGCAGCATAGACAGGTCTTTTCTGTGTTAGAGTTTTACACTACAGGGTGTACTTTGAGGGTTTTTCACTCTACAGAACGTTTACATGCATAAAAACCTTCATAACACACAAGCTGGACGGGTAATAACCGGAAAAGTACGATATGGGACCTTTAAGATTGTCTAAAGGCTTACTTTGCTTTTCCCAGTTCTTGTTATTTTTGTGGCAATAAATGGTCTATAAAGTGAGTATTTTATTTTTAAATGTTATCTGAAGTGAACACTGGATTGTGGTTATACCTCTTCTACACAGGGAGAAGTTCAGTCAGTACTGAAGCACTGAAACAGGTTGGTTGATGTTTTTTTTTCAGAAGGCACAGGGAGGCTTTTCTTTGAGTTTTACCGTCTGCTGAGTGAGGCCAGGCCCAAAGAAGGAGAGGACCGGCCGTTCTTCTGGATGTTTGAAAACGTGGTCGCTATGGGCGTCAATGACAAGAGGGACATCTCACGATTCCTGGAGGTGAATGACATGGACTGTAGAGTGTAACAGCTGCGAAAATCAAAAACATGAACCAAAGACATATTTCACTGACAATGATTCCTAAAAGAAATGTTAATGAGGACATTAATCTAAAACATAATCTTAGACCTAATCCCCCAAAAACTGGAAAAAGCCTGCGGCACATGTGTGTACCTTTTATCAGATATTATTTGTATGTAGTTTTTTTCATATTTCACATTTATTTGTTATACATCATTTTAGTCTAGTATTTCTTTGGTAACAGTAGTGCAAATTAATATTGTAACAGCTGGTGTTTAATGACGTCTGTGCCATCTTGTTATTGTCTCAACTTAGTCATGGAAAGAAAAGATGTTGTCAAACATATTGAGTCATAGCTTTAATTAACAAAATGACACTGTGTCTTCTGTGTGTTTTTGCAGTGTAATCCTACGATGATCGATGCCATCGAGGTCTCTGCTGCTCACCGTGCCCGATACTTCTGGGGAAACCTGCCGGGCATGAGCAGGTTGGAAAGAAACTCTGAAACTTTCTTTAAAATAATCTCTCACTTCAGTGCTGTTCAACATGTTACATCACAATATCTAAAGCTGAAACCATTATGGATTCATTTTATATTCTGTGTTTTTTCACACTCGTATATGTTAAATTATTATGTATTATTATGCATTTATGTGATTAGTTCTCTGGGTTTCAGGCCTCGGTGTGCCTCTGGGATGGACAAGCTTGAGCTGCAGGACTGTTTGGATCACGGCAGAGTTGCAAAGGTTTGATATAGATTATATCTATATATATATAAATAAAGCTATATGGTGGCTTTTGTGTTAACAGTTTATTTGCTGTCTCCTAGTTTGGGAAAGTGCGCACCATCACTACCCGCTCCAACTCCATCAAACAAGGGAAGGATCAGCACTTCCCTGTCATGATGAACGGGAAGGAGGACATACTGTGGTGCACTGAGCTGGAGAGGTGAGCCAGGAACATACACACACACACACACACAGACACAGACACAGACAGATAATCAAGTTGTTTATCTTGTACATTTCCGCAAATTATAATATTTGCGGAAATGTACAACTTTAAACCTGGAAATTCTTATTGTTATTATTCTCAGAATCAAATGTGTATAATTATTTACTTTAACCTACAAAGCCCTTAATGCACCTTTTTAAATATATGAGTCATTTATGTGGACACTTTAATTCAGGCTAATGATACAAATGTTAAGTGTGTAATACATGCCTTTCAACACTGATAGTAATAATGGTTGTGGATTTGTTGCCCTGCAGGATCTTTGGATTCCCTGTCCACTACACAGATGTGTCCAACATGGGTCGCGGGGCCAGACAGAGGCTGCTGGGCCGGTCCTGGAGCGTCCCCGTCATCAGGCATCTATTCGCACCGCTGAAAGATTACTTCGCCTGTGAATAGACACCACTTATGATTACAAACTAGCTTTTCAATGATAAAAAAAACATCAGCAGCCGGCCAAAATGTTCTAAAGAGCCAGATATGTTCTCTACTTTGGCAGGCAATAACCAGTTTCACTAACAATAAGTGTAACTGGGAAATAGTAGAAGCAGCTGTTAGTTTGTATCCAGCCCTTTTTCATACTGGAGATAATGCACTGCAGCCTTAAACGCACATAACACACACTAACACAAAGACACACAAATACAGCATGGTGTCAGAAAGAGAGGGCATCACTGATTTTAAGAGAGGCCAGTTTTGTTTTAGCTGTGGTGGAAGATGGCGACACCTGATCCCTCTGCTTTTTTCTTTAACAAGAGGCCTGTACAGTAGTTTTAACAGGATTTTCCTTACGTTTTGAAAAGGCCCTTAGAGGGTATTGTTTCGACAATACTTAGTAGTTGTACAAAAAACAGAAGATGGCACCAACAGCACAGCTTTATACGTGGCTTCGTACCAAACGTTTTGTTTAAGGAAGTTTTAAAACATTTCAGAGGTCTCTTATCCCTTTATTTAGTTGATTATGAAAAAGCTGCTGTAACAAGTTGTTAATCTGAATAAAAACACTTAAACCAAAGTCTTAAGACAGTACCTGCTGCTGCACTAGCCTCAGGCCTTAATGTATTTTCTCAAAACAAAAGGAGGTTTGTCGAAAAAACCTAAACGATAGGATATTGGGATTTAACGTCAACATTTTGGAAAAAGATATCCACATCTTTACTGGATAATACAAGATTAACTAGGATAAAAAAACAATGTTTTTTTCAATTTTCAACATTTTAAGAGTATGTGGTTAGTATTTTGATTTAAATATGGTAAGAAAAAATGGTTTTAAATGTTTTTAAAAGGAAAACTCTGTAGGAAAATACATTCAGAAATGGAAGCTAGTGCACCACATGTTCACCTGGAGATGAAGCAGGATTTTGTCCTTTATTTTAGAATAGTTCATTTTCATCGTTTTTTGTTGTAAAAAAAGTAAAACACAACTATAATTTTACCTTTTGCTTTGAGATGACATTTTAGGTGTAAAATAGCTTCCTTAAAAAGAAAGAAATTGTTTTAAATATTATATAAACAGGTTTATGTATAGATAGTGTGAAACTTTGACTTATGTCTCCCTGATACAAATACTTGAAACAAGCCAATGAAGAAACGACTTCTCAAGAAGTCGTTTTTTGCCTTTTGCAAACCATTACAGACAGCTAAGAATAAAAGAGTGATAGCAGTTATGTTAATACCCTAAAAGTTAAGATTTTATCCTTAAAAAAACATTGTTTTAGTTCACCGTAATGTCTCTACACGGGTTGATACTTGTTCAAATAAGTTTATTTGATTCCAGGAAAGAGTGGCACTGTATACTTTTTTTAAATGTAGGCAAACACTGGTGAACACGCAATATTTTCTGTAAAATATCTTTTTGATTTTCTAAAACTTTTGGCAAGAAAACTACCATGCAAATACTCTTTGTCTACTAAAAATTGAAACAAAACATAATAAAAACTACTTGGTTATATTCAGGAAACATCAAGATTTTTTAATTAGTAATATGTCATGTCATGGAAATATCATTTTATGTATGGGAATACAATTTCATGAGACTAGATTTAGACTAGACGGTTAACAGTGTGTATAAATAAATAGTGCTCAGTAATTGTAAGAAAACAAAGAGTCTGTTTGTATGTAAGTGCCGCACATTTGTTGCCAGAAGAAGAGTTTTACTGTGAGACAGCAATAAGATGGCATATGCTTGAGCATTTCCATCAGAGGGAGGGATTTGCTGGTCAGTTTTATCTTGATACCGATTACCTTTATGCGACCAACCTCTCAAAGTATGGTGTGTGCCTTTGAGGAATGGTTTCGCTCTGATAACTGGAAGATTTTTCAATGCGGTTGGCTGTCACCAAATCATAACAAATGGGCATTACCTCAGCCAAACGGGGCAACTGTACATCACTCCTCCTATAGGATCTCTGTTCTGTGAATTCATACTCTAGCTTTATGCTCCCACATGCCCTGTAAATGTATAGCTTGTATTTTATCACTGGAACTTTTTTTTTCACAATGTTTTGCGTACTCTATTGATAGAAATTTTTAATAGTACTTTAACTCTTGTCTCTTTTTTTAACATAAGATGCACAAACCTTATTGAACTATTTTCTTTCATGTTAAAATACTTTAATTTCAACTCCTTAAGTGTTCTGAGAGCCCCCTTTTAGTTATAAAGCCTAATTTCTTATTCCTTAAAAAAAGAGTAATTGTTTACATGCTACATTATTACTGCTGAGGTGATTGAATGTTTTGCTTGAAAACAGTAGGCAATACATTCTAGTTATAACTGCTCTTTCATTGAAAACACATGCAGGAGTATTGACAGTTTAAAGTTTTCAATGTGTAATGTTATAACCTGATATAGAGCATGTTAATCAATATCTGTTGTTATTTAGATGCAAGACATTGTTTAATTGTAGGCTTGAGTGTGAGTGATATAGAACGTTTTTCTATCATTTTGTTGTTCTTTATCTTTTATTCATTTTGTTAAAAGCGTTTTTATGAATCTAGAGTGCAAAAGTATTTCAAAAGAATAGATTCCGTGCTATTTTTATACTACATTTGAATAGTCGTAAAGTGTTGATGTATTTTTTTGTTTGTGTACTTCTTATAGAAACCTATATATATAATTGTTACTCAATAAAATGCAGCTTGGCTGCTAAAAACACTGCCTTGTTTGGTGCTTGAAATGTTAATGTAATTGTGTGCTTTTAACTTTGAATATTTACTCCGGCAAAAGGTCTGTAAAGGTAAATGAAGTTGCATGTTAGATTTATTTCATTATATGTTAATCCTCAAACAATTATCTAGTGACTGCAATATTAATCATAACAATATAGACAAATTCACAACACTTAGTCATAAAGTTATCTTAAAATGGATTGTGGGACAACTTTCGAAAAGCCCATGTGGATTGAATAAAAAGTTGCTTATCCATGAGAAGCTTACATGTAGGCAGAACATTTAAGATCTCAACTGAATATAACAGGAAACCTTTTAGGTGAGGTAAAATAAATGTTTTTGAGGCAGACTAATGATTCATTGTCATTAAATGTCCTAATTTGTTGTGGTTTACTTCGTATATTCTGTTCTATTGTTATATGTGTTCACTATAACTTATATAGAGGCTCTTGTATAGGAAAGGATTGGACCAACGTGTAGGTTGACTTGCTCTCGTTTATCTCACACCGATGCACAACACGTTACATCATAAAGGTTCCTACCCTATTATGCCTGATATTACATCCCCCTTTCTAAATAGGAGACCTTACCTGTGGAGAGGATGTGTATGGACAACACAAGCCTCTGAAGCTGATATTAAACCATTTCTTAACTTGTATTCATTCTAATGAACAATACATGTATAACAGCATTACATCTCAAGTTTACCAAGATGGATATTATTAAAGACACTAAAGGCTTTTTCTAGGTCTTAACATAGTGCAAAATATGAAACACTTTATCAACATGTGTTTCTGAAAACACTGCAACATATAGTTCTGTCTAACTGCAGAATTCTTATTAAAACACTCAACTGCTGTACTTCTTTGTATTCATTTATTTAGTTTTAACTATGGAGGGATGGGTTGGACTACCTAAACCCTCCAGCTGAGTGTGGGGATTATTCTTCCCCATTGACCACTCAGTGTCCTGGCTATGAACGCACTAAGTCTTTTAGATGTGCAGGAGGCGCCCTGACTCTGGCAGGAAAACGTCTCTCACACACTGTGCTTTGCTGACTCGAGTCATGCTGGACTTCTGGTGTGGCAGGAGTGCATGCTGCCTCAGTAGTGGTGTTTACAGGTGTGGTGTTATCAGATAATCGAGGACCCTCAGGGGTTGAAGAGAGGTGGTATCTGTTTCTTTGGACGGTGCCCCTGGGTGTCTCAACGATGTAAGACCTGGGTGTGCCTGCTGTTGACACCACTGTGCCCTTCTCATGTGTATCTTTGATACACACATGTTCGCCGGGTTGCAGGTGCTGCATATCATGTGCTCTGTGTCTGCGATCATAGTTTTGTCTCTGTTTTTGTCTGTAACATTGTTCTGTCAATTTCAACCTTATCATATCAGCACATCCTGGGTTGTGCTGTGATGGAATGACAGGAACGAGTGTCCTTATCTTCCTCCCCATGAGAAGCTCTGTGGGACTGTATCCATTTGCCAGAGTAGCACGGTAGGCCATGAGGGCAAGATATGGATCACTTGATTTCTTAAGGAGACCTTTGATTGTCCTCACAGCCCGCTCCGCTTCTCCATTGCTCTGAGGGAAGTGAGGACTGGATGTCACATGACTGAAGTTCCAGTCCTGGGCAAACTTCCTGAACGGCTCGGATGCAAACTGTGGTCCATTGTCTGAGCGCACTATCTCTGGCACCCCATGTCGTGCAAAGATAGACTTGAAGTGTGTGATGACTGCCTCTGATGTTGTGGAAGTTAATTTTGCCACTTCAAAAAATCTTGAAAAATAGTCAACAATGACCAAATAATGTTTGTTGTCTAATTGAAACAGATCTGCTCCCACTGTAGACCATGGTCTCGGTGGGAACTCAGTAGGCATCAATGTCTCTCTGAGGTTTGTTCTCTCCCGGCTACATGTGTCACAGTTCTCTATCACTTTTGTTAACTCCTTGTTGAGTCCTGGCCACCACAGCACAGACTGTTTGGCTCTTTCTCTGCATTTGGTTATGCCCATGTGACCTTCATGCAGCTTGGTGAGCATGTCAGCTCTGAGCGATGTCGGGATCACTATCCTGCTACCATAAAGTAGGAGACCATTTTGAACTGTGAGCTCACCTGAGAGTGGCAGATAGGGTTGAAACACTCTCTCAATAGAGAACTTGTCTGGCCATCCCTCTACACAGTACCTTTTTAACTGTTGGAGTATGGTGTCGTTGTCTTGGTGTGTCTGTATTTCCCTGAGTCTCTTTTCTGTAGCTGGCAGGCTTGCTATGACTGAGTCCACGTACAGATTGATTTCATTTTCATGAAGCCCCTCATTTATGTTGCTGACAGGAGCCCTGGATAGTACATCTGCAGTTGCGATGTCTTTGCCTGCCACATGTGATATGGTGTAGGAGAATCGCATCAGTCGCATGTGAAGACGCTGTATGCGTGGTGGGAGTTCATCCAAGCTCTTTGAGCCTAGCAGAGGAACCAAAGGCTTGTGATCAGTCTCAATGTGGAAACTTTTCCTGATGAGGAACTCTGCAAAGCTCTCGCAGGCCCAAGTTGATGCCAGAGCCTCCTTTTCAATCTGGGCATATCTCTGTTCAGTGCTGCTGAGAGCTCTTGAAGCATATGCTACAGGTCGCCATTCGATGCATGTTTGTCGCTGCAGAAGCACGGCACCCATCCCGTATGAAGATGAATCCGCAGAGACAAGAGTTTCAGCATTTGGGTCATACAGTGCTAGTCCCGGGGGTGTCGTCAGATCCTTTTTGATGCTGTCAAAGGCCTGTTGCTGTTGGCCCCCAGGCCCACATGTTTGTTTTCTTTAATAAGTCTCTGAGAGGATGAGTTTTTTCAGCCAGGTGGGGTAGGAATTTCCTAAGGTGATTTGTCATCCCCAGAAAGCGTTTCACCCCACTGACATTACTGGGCTCTGTCATGGCTTTCACAGCGTTAATCTTGTCTGGGTCTGCGCTGACTCCAGATGCCTCTATAACTTGCCCCAGAAACGTTATTCTGCTCTTTGAGAACTCACACTTGTCGTTAAGTGTCACTCCTGCAGTCGTGATAGCGTCCTCTTCAGCTTCTCATCGTGCTCTTTTTGTGTGGCTCCCCAGATGAGCACTTCGTCCATCTGACACACAACACCTTCCAGGCCCTCCAGGATACGTGACATTCGTTTTTGGAAGTGTTCTGGTGCTGATGATATTCCGAAGCACAGACGGTTGTAGCAGTATCGCCCAAATGGTGTTATGAAAGTTGTTAGCAGAGATGATTCCTTGGACAGTGGAATCTGCCAAAATCCTGCATTTGCATCAAGCTTTGAAAACACTTTAGCTCCAGCGATCTGTCCTAGGGTGTGCTCAACTGAGGGGAGGGGATGTTTCTCTCTCAACACTGATTTGTTCAGCTCAGTGAGGTCAGTGCATATTCTCACCCTGCCCGTGCGCTTGGGCACCACGACCATGGGTGCACACCATTCTGTGGGCTTCTCCACCTTTGAGATAACACCCTGCTGCTCCATGCGGTCTAACTCCTCTTTAACCTTAGGAAAGAGTGGGAGAGAAATGCGCCTAGGGGTTGCAAGGGAAAACGGCTGTGCTCCAGAACAATGTTGTATTCTCCCTCTATTTTTCCTAAACCAGAGAAAAGCTTTGGGTCAATCAATCAATCAATGTTTATTTATATAGCCAAATATCACAAATTACATTACATTGCATTTAGCTGACGCTTTTATCCAAAGCGACTTACAATAAGTGCGTTCCACCAACAAAATACAAACTTGAAGAAAACAGAATCATATAAGTACATCAGGTTTCATAGAGCGAAAACATTTCAAGTGCTACTCAACTGGCTTTAGATAAGCCAGTCCTTTATTAGTATATAAGTGCTTTGTTAATAGTTCTATCGCTCGAAGTGGAGTCGAAAGAGATGAGTTTTCAGTCTGCGCCGGAAGGTGTGTAAGCTATCTGCTGTCCTGATGTCAATGGGGAGCTCATTCCACCATTTAGGAGCCAGGATAGCAAACCCACGTATTTTTGCTGATGGGAACTTGGGTCCCCTTCGCAGCGAGGGGACCCAAGAGACACTGAGACAAATGTTACATTTGTCTCAGTGGACTTCACAGTTTGTACAGAATATCAGTATGACAATATGACACCCTCTGTCCTTAGACCCTCACATCGTACAAGGAAAAACTTCCAGAGAAAACCCCACAGTTTAAAGGGGAAAATGGGAGAAACCTCAGGGAGAGCAACAGAGGAGGGATCCCTCTCCCAGGACGGACAGACGTGCAATAGATGCCGTGTGTAAATCGAAAAGATAATACATTTTACAGCGTAGGTAGACCAAATGTTTGGAAAGACCAAATGTTTGGAAATGCATGTGTCTATAATAAGAAGATGAATCCAATTGGGTACATTTGTTGTACTGTTTCCTTGGATTCTAGGGAGACATTATCTAGTCTAGCAACCAAGTGTAGTGCTAGAACAGCCGACCCGCTTAACAGTGGCATGGCCAGCCCTTCAACCACATATACATCTTCATTTATGCTTTTATCATTTTACTCAGAGTGGCTTCAAACTTTCCTTTTACTTTTAAAAGCTCCTTTCCTGGCCCCTTCAGAACCCTTGTTGGGCTCATCAGCCTGTTGAACTGGCTCTGAGTGTACAGTGTATGAGGAACTGCAGTAACATCTGCTCCAGTGTCGATTGTAAACACTGCATTGTAGCTGTCCACATTGATGTCTGTCATCCAAGGATTGTTCCTTATATCTTCTGATATTGAGCCAGGAATGCAACATCATCATCTGTTTCCCCAGTCACTGTTGCAACGTTCAACTCTTGCCTTTTTTTATTCCTGCACACTCTGGCATAATGGCCTTGTTTTCTGCAGAGGTTGCACCTTGCATCCTTTGCTGCAAACTGTGCCCTCTTCTTGCATTTCCACATCTTCTGCATTGTGTTTATCCTGCGGTGCTCTTTTCTCTTTGTGTGTTTTAACCATAGGTTTTAACCATAGACTGTATATATAAAGGTTTTAACGTGCTTCGGGGCCGTGAGCTGTGTGCTGGCGATGTCTGTCCTGAAATTAACTTTGAGCATTTCTTGTTGCCTCTTTACCAGCTCACTTTGTCTACATTTGTTTATTGCTCTCTCTAGCGTCAGTTCAGGATCCATTTGTAATTGTTCTGATAGTCTTTTGTCTTTCAAACCGACCACCATTTCATCATGAAGAGCGCCATATTCACAGTGCTCCGCCAGGCAATGCAGCGCTCTAGCTGTCAGCCGACTCGCCCAGCTCCTGCTGTCTCTGATTAAACGTTGCCCTCTCGAAAATTATGTTTCTTCGAGTCATAAAGTGTCCATCTAGTCTTCCAGTAACTTTCACGTACTCACTCGCTTCATCGAGGCAGAGAAGTCAGTATGTCCTCTGCCTCCTCTCCCATAGTGTAGATTCACCTGATTCTCGTTCGGTTGTGTCTCTAATCCAGACGCAATGCGGAATTTTTCAAAGCGTTTTATCCACTTAGGCCAGTCATCTGCCTTGAAAGTGAACTTTTCCGATGGTGAGACTTGAAACTGGTTCATCGTGGCGCGCTAGCTTTAGCCTCTCCTTCGGCGTTCCACGGAAAAAATTATAATAGACGGCACTAAACCTGACGTATTTTTTGGTCCGCTGGACACTAACATTGACTTGTTAATGTCTCGTTTTCACTTCTGACACCATGTTCTATTGTTATATGTGTTCACTATAACTTATATAGAGGCTCATGTATAGAAAAGGATTGGACCAACGTGTAGGTTGACTTGCTCTCCTTTATCACACACCGATGCACAACACGTTACATCATAAAGGTTCCTACCCTATTATGCCTGATACTACACATTCTACCAAACCATCTTTTTTTGGAATCTCGTTCTGTGTAGCATTGATGTCCAATATTTGTATTCAAAGCAGGGCATTGAGGGGGATTTGGCACGTCAGGTTTTCCCTTGCCTTTTTTAACCTAAAAATAACGTCACATACAGTATATTATGCCCACTTAAGACAATACTGATTAAATTAAAGTCGCAACTCAAGCATTATGAAGCTAGTTATGTCGGCTAGCTGCTAATGTGCTAGCTTTTGAGCTAAAATGCTAGCCAGGAATGATTCCTGGCTAGCATCATTCTGATGTTAGCATGATGAGCTAAGCAGGGCATGGTGCCCTGCTTAGCTCATCATGCTAACATCAGTGGTTATTAGCAAAGTATACATATACATTAACTGTTAAGTGACATATTTTTTTAATCACTGTCAGAATAATGAACGCATAGTAGTAATTTTGTAAAGTTCGTCTCTTTTCCTACTTCATTACATTGACAATCCCCCATATTAAGAAGGAGTAGGTAACATTAGCTAAGGCCGGGTATCGAGGGGGCGGGCGGGAGTGTGGGCGTGTTTATGGGCTTCAGGGGGGTTCAGTGACTTGATCCTGGTAGTTTAAATACCCAGAAGGAGGAACAAGATAGAGAGGGTGAGTAGACGATGTTTTCTCAACTGCTTTATCGAATAGTTTGCCAAATATGTTACTTTTCAACGCACACTCTCTTTTAGTTCTGCACACGTACTCCATTGTACGTCGTAACGCCATCATACATAGATGCTCCGGTGCCGTGAAGTTATTGTTATAAGTTCACGATTTAGCTTGCGTTGTTTAGCCACAACGGCTAACGCAAGCTAACACGTGAATTTATTATAACAATTACAATGTCCTTAAACGCATCTCCTTTTTGAAATAAATAAGCTAAATCGACGGGATTTAAAAAAGATAGATATTTTCTGTCTGAGTTTGAATATCCTATTAGATGGGCTTTGTTAACTGTTATAACGGCTGCGCTTAAACTCCGGGCGTTTGCGTAGTTAAGTCACAGCGAACAGTTGTAAATATGGTGGAACAACGGCCAACATTAAATGATCATTTAAAACATTTTTATGAAATAATTTCCTGAAAGTTATAGTTGTTATGTGGTGATGCTACTGTAGCAATCAGCTTCAACACATGGTTAGGGAAGGTAAAGCTATCGATTCATTGTTTATTTTGTATTGTTCGGACACGACATCCTCCCCCTCTCTGTTGGCATGGTTTTCCTCAAGTAAAGCTTCACTTCCGGTCAAAGTTGTACGTAGAGCTTGTAAACAAAATCTGTTATCGGTGAAACAGCTGATCTGATCACTTTATCCGACACCGGTAACAATCTCTGCGTTGCAGAACTCATCAGTGATGATTCTATCAATTCTATTGGTCAGAATACTACCGTATCTAATATGATTGGACACAGAAATGGTTAACCATACGGTTATAGTAAAATAAAATAAAAATGATTGTAAAAACATTTTGGAGTTCGAATTGGTCTAATACTTTGTTTTATCAAACACATGTTACATTTAGGATAAGTCTTTGTATTATTGGTCGTTTGTGAGAAGAAACATCGGCTGGTTAATTTCACTTATGATTCTAAGTACATTTAAAGTAGCTTGTTGATATACCGGAGTCAAATAAATTGGAGCACATGTAGCTTGTTTGTGTTTATCATATACTGGGGCTGGGATGAACGGCACTTTTTGAAAGGACATGAATGCAGCATTTTCGCCGGAAATGCCCAAAGCAGCTATCTGTTAGCATCATGTGCTGTTAGCATCATGTGCAGAAAGTAGCAAACAGCAATATAAACGGTGGATGGATACAACCAGAGCCACAACACATCTGAGCGGTGTATTACGAAACCAGATTAGTGTGTTAGCTAGGTACGTTGAGTTTAAATCCAGAGTTTTCTATATCCTAGAGTTTGCGGTCTATATCAACTAAAGATAACTGCAATAACTAGCTCCTTTGAAAATAGTGTCGAATTAAAGTCGATAGTAAATCTCGGAGCAGTTGAGATTCTCAGAGAAAGGGATACTTTATTTCTGTGAAGATGCAATAGCACAAACTGTTTGCAATGCATTACTTCTTTGTTGTTGTTTTTACAGCTGCAACCTATATCGGTGATGCAGATGATCAGAACAGGAATACTGTGTTGTATATGATTGTTCTTTTAGGCAGGGCATATTGTAGCCAACACTAGTTTTTATTTTCTCATATTTGGTTGTGTGTATTATATTTCTTTATAATAACTGAACAGTCTGAACTGCCCACACATTTGCCCACTAGGGCTCTAAAATAAGCCTCTTAGAAATGTGCAGGCAAAACAATAGTGTACAATATTATAGATTAGTATGAAGCTTACTTGCATATGGAATGTGGTATAATACAATTATTTTCACGTATCCTTTATTGGACAGTTTCAGACCTGAACGCTACTAGATAATATCGTTTTAATCTGCTGTATCAAGTTTTAAGAAGAGTAGTAGAAGGGAGTTTTGAAGATCTGTAGAGAGCACAGTTGTTCAATTAGAAAAAAAGGTAAGCGTAGATTGCATCTAGCTAGATATATAAATATATGATTTTTTTTTTTAAACAATCACTACATTTCCTCCAGCATATTGCTCTTTTTCTTGCAGCGTTGTTGCCTCATCATGCCATAATATTGTTTTTATATTCTTGTAAAATTCAATTTGTAGTAAACCTCCCTGTAGTAGACTCTTGACAACAACTGGCAGTTATTTCTCCTTGATCTTTAATTTCACAGCACAAAAGTCTGCTGAAAGAAAAGTAGTGGTTTGAGCAAAGCTTTTAACATTTAAGTAGAGCTGTTCGTTTTTTAGCCCAATGATTCATGGCTAGTTGTGATGTATTTGCTATTTTGTCACATCAAAAAATGACATGTTTAATTTAAAATCAATCCCACATGTCTCCCGGGGGATACATTCCATGCATTTTATTCCAAATCACATAAGAAAATACATTGTTTAAATTGTGATAGGGTCAGGAATGTGACTTCTAAAACGTAATATTTGTGGTGGATCAGTGTTTGTATTTGTCTGACTCTGGTGTTTGTGCATGTCAATCTCTTTAGAAGATGGCCACGATGAACGTGGCAGTGAATGTACCTGCCTATGCAAGGCAGCCAAACCGCCATGAGGTGCTGGCCTGGCTCAACTCGACTTTACAGGCAGGCTTCGCCGGGTTGGATCATGTATACACAGGTAGGTCAACATGCATACTTTTAAATGCGGGAATAACACCTCGACAAACTATCATGAGCCAGGCCGTAGAAGTATATATTTTGTGTATACTTGTGTGGACTCTGAGCCGACCTGACTGCACATAATTGATTACCGTTGTGTGTGTTTGTGTGAACATCCAGGCGCCGCCTTTTGCCAGCTCATCGACTGCCTGTTTCCTGAAACCCTGGACCTCTCAAGCGTCCGATTCGAAAGCAATGAAAAGGTGGACTCTCTCCACAACTACAGTTTACTGCAAACTGCATTCAGAAAAGTTGCAGTATTACGAGTGAGTATTGTAACAAAAGTGGGGAGCGACCAATAAATCAAGGACCGTTGAAAAATTACGTCCAGAGTCTTGCACGTATGATATTAGTTATTATGTTGAGCAATAAGACACTAAGTTATACTGTAGAAGTGACACGTCTTTTTCTTAGGTAGTTAAAAACTCTTCACCTAGGAACCCTGGAAGTTTTTAGTTTAGCTGTAAAGTATCTCTTTACATATGTACATAGGTTGGTCACAATAAAAAAATTAAAAAAAGTTTAATGCTAGTTATCTATCAAAAGGGTTTTCTTATGTTCTTTGTTTAATTAGGTGTGAATATTTTTGACTGGTGAATATGAAAGTTTAAAGCCTCTTCTCTGTTTCCAGTACATCCCTGTTGAACCGCTGATGGCAAGGAACGTATCGGTCACTCTGCAATTCCTGAACTGGTTTTACCTTTTCTTTAAGAAGAACATGAGTGAGACCAGGGAGTACAATGCCTTTGAGGCCAGAGGTGGAAAGAATATTGTTCCTCCTCGCACAGGTAGGAAAAGAGCTTGTGGGTGGATGAATCACACAGTTGTTACACAGATATTGCCCATTGCAAAGGGGTGGGGGACTGAAATATGCAATATTTGTGTATTTGCCACATTTACACCATAACCCGAAATATTACAGAATGCAGAATTTGTTTTTGGTTTTCAGTATTTTTATATAGAGCATATACACAATGAGTAGCACACAAAAACCAATATATTTAAATTAAAACATTATCTGTAATCATTAAATATAACACTACAAGTTACTTTTCTCATTATGACCTAACAAATAGGTTTTCATCTTTAGCCATGACACTGTAAAAAGTGGAATTTGTTTTATATAAGACGGTCAATTACATGTGTTTTTTCATGATAGGTACTACCTGATTTACACAAGACAAAATTGCACCTACATGTTCCCAAATCAATTCACAAAGTTTGAATATGTTTGCACAATCAGTATTTTTCCATTTAAATGCTCTATTTAGACTATTACAACGTGAAGTCAGTTTGATATGCTGGACTTATGTTTGAATAAGCAGCTTTAATGCAGAAGTCACAATTGGATGCCCTCGCATTAACATAATACTATATCAATGCCAGGTTAATTACACGCAGAGATATACAATGTTATCTTTTGCTTTAGATAATGAAAATGAAAAAATGAAGCTTTAGGGAAATAAAGCCAGTAATATTAAGTGTTTATGTCTTAAAGCACTTGTAATGTGTTTTCACTCCCATCTGATCCCCCAGAGAGTGAGGAGGAGAACGAGGTCAGAAGAGTGGCAAAAGAAAAAAAAAGAAATTTGAAATCTGAGGCGGATGCGAAAGCGGGGCAGGAGACAAAGGAAAGGAACAAAATCAAGAAACAAAAGGAGGAGCAAGCCGATGAAGAAAGTCATGAAACCTTTTTGCTCTTCATCAAAAGATACTGCAGTGACACGAGTGCAGACCCTTCTGTTTCTGCCTTCTTAAGTCCGACCCACTGCGCGGACGTCATTAAAGCCTGCTACTCCCTGCCATACTGCCTCTACCTGTATATGGACGTGGAGCTGGGCTTAGAAAAGAACACAAGTGTCCTCCTGGTGGGATATTTCGACCAAAACTCAGGTGTCAGTGTGGTAAAGCCGCTGCTCACGCTGCAGCTGAGCGGCTGCTATGCTGACCCTCAGTACTCAGAGGACGCAGGCATACACACTGTGCACACACACGCTGAAACTGATGCAAGCCTTCTAATCAAAGAGCTGAAGAGGAATGATCTTTGGCTGCCCAACGCCGCTGTGTTTTACTGTAACGCTCCGAACCTGAGGGTGAGCAACGTGTTTCTATCACACCTCCAGCCTTTCAACCAAAATATCATATCGCTCTGCGGCCTCCCCGGGATGACGTCACGCGCCTGCCAGGCCGGACTCTTGTCTTCCTTTAGTTGCGTGGTTGACCTCATTAGAGACATCCACTACCACTACTACACCTGCCCCTCCGTCAGTGACAGTGTGAAAGGCCTATTTGCTGATGAGAAGTACTACAACCCCTCCCTTCCCATCGCTGCACAGTGTCTGTTCATCATCCACGCTTGTCAGAAGATGGCCGACTGCTGGAGGCTTTTAGTGGAGTATTTTAAGTCATTGAATCAAGTAGAGGACTCCAACCGTATCAGAGCCCAGCTGTTGGATTATAAAATCCGCCTGCGCATCATTTTCCTCGCCCAAAATTTGGAGCCCATCCGAGCCCTTCAAGAGTTGCAGGCCTCCAGCAACGCATGCGTGACCGTGGAGCTCCAGCTGACCTCCATGGCGATGCACTCGTTTGCGTCCAGTCTGCTCCGGCCCTCCGCCATAGAGAATTTTCTCAACAAGCGAAACGTGAGTCACCTCCAAACCAGCTCGGACCTGCTCCTTGTCAAAGACGTGCGCGTTGGTTCTAGTGCCAGAGACTTTCTGTGGGCCAGCGCTGTCGTGGATCTGGGGGAAGCGGACAGGAAGGTATTCCGGAGCGATGCGAAAGCTTTCTATAAAGCAGTACTGGAGAGTTTTGCGGAGAGTCTTCCTGAGGATCTGGGGGATGTGGCACTGAAGAATATGGGCAGGGTGCTGGGACATTCTGAGGATATCAACGTAAGGATATCTTTTTTGGTTCATTCAAAGTGACACTTAATGCAGTCAGCTCCTGCTTAACATTTGTTGAGCCTGTATGATGCAGATTGTATATTTAAAATGAATACAATAAACTAAATCATAGTAGGGATGCAGTCAAACATGTCTTTACTAGACTATATCAAATATTTTGGCTGTTTTCTCTCAAAAATGTAAGAATTCTCTCCAGAATTAGATATATAGATACAGCATTAAAACTGTTATGACAAAATAGAAGACACTTTGAATCTCTGGATGGGCCGCATATTCACTATCTGTATTTTGCTTCCTTTTGATATATGTGTTTTTCTTCCAGGGAAATAAATTGACCGCAGGAGAGCTCACAGAGTTGGCGGATCAGCTGGGTCTGTTCAAAGCTGGGGTTAGCGGAAAGAAAATTCTGGTCAGCAGCTACTTCCATTTCCTCAAGACCACAAAGAAGGAACAAAGTGTCAGCTGGAAAAAGGTAAACTAACACAATGGAGCAAAGTTGCCTACGATTATCAAATTACATTTTTAAGTGAAGAATACTGGTGTTACCTTATCAGGTAAACTTAATGAGTAACAGAATTCCTACAGTAGCTCATGATTAATAAAAAAAAAAAGTGTCATAATTTGAATGATATATATATATGTATTGATTTGATTTATGCTAAGTTGCAAAAAAACTGCTGGTTCTGAAGCTATCAAAAGTCATTACAATGGCTGCCTGTGTTCTCTTCATAGATATTGTACATGAACAGACATTTCACGAGTCTGCGTAGACTCTTCCAGTCGATCCTGGCCCTGCCGAGCTCTCTTCACAGGACACAGGTGTTTGCTAAGGTGAGTGTTAATAGTTCAATCTGTTCTGAAGGCTGACAGTCGGTTCAATAACTGAATCGGAGGCCATTTTCACAAAATCTTATTTTAAAGGGATAGTTTGGATGTTTTAAAGTGGGATTGTATGAGGAACTAATCCATAGTCAGCATTTACAGTATCAACCAATCAAAAAACAAAACATCATATTTTATGATCAAAACATCACATACGTTTGTCTTTAATATAACCACTTGATACCAACCGAAAACAAACACAGGAGTGAATCAAATCCTATTCAAAGGGGTCCTATTATGCTCTTTGGGGTTTTCCCTTTCCTGTAGTGTGTTATATCGGGTTTTTTTGCATGTAAATGATCTGCAACGGCAACAAACCCAAACTGTATCTCCCACCCCCAACCCCCAAATTAAGAAGATGTTCGTCTACACTAGCCATTAGCTTATTTGGGTGACTTTGATGTTTTAATGGTTGGTTCGTAATCACAAAGTATATACTCATCAATGAATCAAGGACATGTGTGCTTTAAACTGTTGGTTATGTATTTTTGTGAACATGTGTGTTTTTGCTCCTGATTTAAAGATGTGCAACAAGGCTCTTCCTCAAAGCAAGGAACCCCCCATATCCTTATCTGAATTGTACGAAAGGCTAGAAATACCCAACACATTGAGGAAGCATCGGAAGAAACCTGTCCAGTCAAAAAATGACAACAAGAGGAAAGAGGAGTCTTCCTCAGATGATGGTGACGGTGCTGTGGCCAAACCACGGTTACAGCTTCCCTCCAAACGCCCCATCACTAAGGAGGACTCGGAAAAAACAGACAATTCTTCAGGTAAGACTGTCAGGTGTGATTTCAGAGTGTAGCTCACGTTTCTGTACCAGCCTCGGGACAGTTTTATCTCACAGACCACTATTGAATTCCTGATATTACCACTTACATTTGTTCATAATACGCTGTTCTTCCATACAGCTGTATTTCCCTATATCTACATAGTTAAATATCATTATAGTACAGTATTACATTTCACATTCTGTTTCATTTTATTCTATTTTTACCTGTACATGGTTAACTTATTCCTGCATTTACTTGCACTATTTAATTTTAATTTTCTTATTTACTTTATGTCTTAAGTATATTTTATGTGTATCACCATTCCCACTCATAACCAACGATTAAATTGTACTTTACATACATCTTTTAATAATACTATGCTGTACAAGATTGAAATTCAATTTGATTGTGGTTTCTCTTTTTCTCAGATGTGGTGGATGTCACTGAAGAGTCCAAAATGAGGCCCAGAAACATGAAGCCAGGAAGTAAGAATGGATGTGGAATATTGTAAATGATGTTATAGTTATTGACATAAATGTAAACACAATATGTACTTATTGTAATCCTAGTGTTGTGAACAATGCTATATTTAACGTGTGTATAGAAACATATTCAGTAGGTCATTGTAACTGTATTGCAGGTGAAAGTAGTCCAAAGGCAAAGTATTCATGCGTTGAGGACAGTAAAAACGATGATGAAGACAGCGACTGCATGATTTTAACAAGAACACCACCCAAGACTGCAGACTTAACGGTAAAAATAGTTCATTCAGATGAGCATTTTTTAAAACAACAAATCAAACCTGCATTTATCTCTTCAAACATTCATATTCGAACACATTTTTGCTTGTTAAGTTTACTGGCATTAAAGGTTTGTGTGTGTTGTCTAGGATGTGATGGGGGAGCTGGTCTGGGGTCTGGTGGAGGGCTTTGCTTCCTGGCCAGCCGTCATTGTCCCGTCTAAGGAAGAGAAGCAAGATCCAGAGTGGAGGATGGTGTCGTGGTACGGACAGAACATGTCCTCTACGGTGAGTCAGATGTGAGCGGTAAAACGTTGCAGGTTGTTACAATAATCATAAACGCTTAATAGTGACACTAAGGGTTAGGCAAAATGTGATTGGCTGAGAACATCGCTGTTTATTTAGCTAATTTAATTGTATGCCCAGAAAGAGCTTCTGAGAGCAAAGCTTTGCGGGTTGTCTTTTTATAAAACTCCATGCCGGTTGAATCAGTGGTCTGCATGGTTTTAACTGCTCAGATGCTTGTAACCAAATAAAGTACTGGATACTATCCATAACCACTGTTCAAACAGATCTTTAATTGGAAAGCTTTTTTACATCACTATCAAATTTAGGCAATGAGAGTTTTAGATTCTCAGTCTCCCTTCAAAAATGCTCCATGATAATCTATATATATATAAGAGAATCCTAGTATCAAAATCAAATCTTTTTAAAACAATTGTTCATATAGTTTTGAAATGTGTTTGAGTTTGAAATATTGTCTATTGCCAACACATCGCCATGCACTTCTTATAGTAACTGAATAAATGTAACTCTGGTTCCAGATGAAGTTTCAGGCTCTGAAACCGTTCGCTTCCTTCGCCCAGCACTTCTCCTCCAACTCCTTCGCCATCCTCGACACCTACCGAGAATCCATCTTCTTGTCTTTGAAGGTCTGAGAGTCTCTCTGTGTATTTCCTGATAAACATAAACTGAAAATATGTTGTTGACTGGACCGCCCACACAACATACCTGTGTATGGGATCCTAAAAAGTGCACATATGTGATGCAGATTTGTGCTCTTGCTAACATGTTTGTATCCATGCCTTTTAGGAGGCAGCCCTGCGTTGTAAGAAGCCGTTTGCTGCGTCTGATGAGGACCGCGACGAGCTGCTGAAGCAGATGTTGGACTGGGCCCTCGGAGGGTTTCTGCCCTCGGGACCGGGCGGACTCAAAGCAACGGCAGCCTCAAATGGTATGATTGAAGAAGTGCCTGAATAGATGTATCACTGCTTTCAGACTAAAAGGAGTTTTTTCTCAGAGGTAAAGTCAGAGGCATTTGACAGCAATTAAGCATTCATATGTATTCATATGTATCTTTTACTGTGCTTTTGTTGTATATTAAATACACTTTTCCGGACAGCACTATTGAAAGCAAAAGTCTGAACATCAGCTAACTGCTAGCCTTGTCGCATTTCGGTATGTTAATGGTCTCCTAGGGCCTGGCGTACACATGCGTGGACATCACATTTTTGGTCATATGACCACAGTCGTTTAATTCTGCTGAACTGGGGCCTCATGGCCACGTATGTGGGCACTTACACTGCCATCTGGTGGTGTCAGAAGAGTACAACACACTACGGTAAAAATTCAAAATGGCGACAAACTCAAGGGATCATTCAAGTGGCAGCTCCAAATACAAACCTCGACAAGGTAAGAAGTCCTATCATATTTCAAGGCTTTTTCTGATTTAGATATGTATCAAAGCATTGTACGTTTGTCATGACATGCAAATTTGACAAAAAATGTGTAAAAATAACAATTTGGTATGCTGCTAAACATGATGTACATGTATGTGTACATCGGGACTTAGGTTGGTCGAAAATGCTAATATGTTAGTAAAAATGTGCACAAGTAAAATAGCTTATAGCTAACTCTGGTGCAGCTAAAAAGCTGTACATTGTCCCGATGAAATAAATAACAATTAAATAACTAAATACATACATACATACATAAATTAGTTGGGTTGAAAATGTTAATATGCTAGTACAAATGTGCCTTGCTATAGCTAATAGCTAGAGTTGTTTATAGCTAATTCTGGTGCAGTTGAAAAGCTATACATTGTCCCAGTGAAATAAATAACAAAGAAATACATAAATGCATACATATATAAATGACATTGGTTTGTATTTGATTTTTTCATGTTTTTATTTCCAGAGCGTTTTTCTGTGCAACAAACATTGGAGCTACTTGGGTTAATCGATGGAGACAACTCAGATTTGGAAGACTTGTCTGACAACGATGATCCCATCCTGGATGTCAATTATCAACGCCCACCACAGGAGCAAAGCAGCAGTGAGGATGAGGATGACAGTAGTGATGATGAGGACCCCATTCCTCAGCCCACTGAGCACAGCAGAGGACGTAAACGTCTCCGTGGTGCAAATAATGGTTAGCCAAGACCCAGTGGATATTTGTTTATTTTAGGCAGGGCCTCAGGGCTAGGTGAAGGATAGGAAGCAAAATGTTTATTTACAACACTTGTTGACAGGTTCAGGTTCAGGTTCAGGGACAGGTTCATCCCGCACTCCCAGACGGCGCCGTCAAACTCAGCAGATCGAGGCTGATCGCTCCGATGATGACTCGGAAGAGCCAACACCAGGACCAAGCACTCAGGGACAGCCCAATAAAGGTAATTGTTATTATTTTAGCATGCCTTGAGGGTACATTTTCAAATTTCATATAAATGTCCACTCAGATTCAACTACGTTATGCACCAATAAACCTCAGTGAATTGCTTGCATGGGTAACAATATGTAACTTACTTTGCAATAAGTACTATTTGTATTCTGATTCTGGTTGTGCAGAACGTGGGTTGCGCTGGAGGGCTACTCCATTGACGCCAGACCTTGCCCAGTTTGTGCACGAGGACGACACTGAGCTAGACAGGAATGGCTGGACCCCACTGGACTATTTTGAACAGTACATAGATAGAGATTTGATGAAAATGATTTCAGATTGCTCTAATGCTATGTCACTGTCTAGGAGTGGGGATCCACTCAACACCTCTGTAGATGAGGTTTACCACTTTTTTGGTGCCTGTATTTTGATGTCCTGCATCCGATACCCAACAATCAGGATGTACTGGTCCAAAGCCTTGAGAATCACTGCCATCACTGACAAATTCACGCGCAACAGATTCTTCAGACTGAGGGGATCAATAAAAGTGCTAATTGATGATGATGTGCCAGAAGATCTGAGGAAGAGGGACAAATTCTGGAAGGTGAGGCCTTTTCTGGATCGGATTCTGCAAGGCTGCAAGTCTCAGAATCGACCTGAATGCGCATCCATTGATGAGCAGATGATTCCTTTCACAGGAACCTGTCCATACAGACAATATCTGCCAATGAAGCCAAACCCAGTTGGCATCAAGAACTTCGTTTGTGCTACAGCAGATGGCATTGTGCTGGACTTTGATCTGTATCAAGGTAAAGGTGCACTGCTTGAGCAGGTCGAAGAAGAAGAGGTGGGCCTGGGGTTGGGAGGCTTAGTCTTGGCTCGTCTGTGTCAAACTCTGCATCGTGGCACGAAAGTGTATTGTGACCGGTTCTTCACAAGCATCCGATGTGTGGAACAAATGATGAAGAAGGAGATGTACATTACTGGTACAATAATGAAGAACCGACTCGCTGGCGCGAAGGAGAAGCTAGCCTCTGACAAAACCATGAAAAACACAGGAAGAGGTACCTCATCAGAACTTTCCACTGAAGACGGAAAGTTGTGTGTAGTGAAGTGGTACGACAACAAACCAGTGTTGATGATGTCTGTTGTTCATGGCACAGAGCCTGAAGACACCTGCCAGCGCTGGGACAAGAAATTGAAAGAATATGTGACTGTCTCGCGACCAAGCATTGTCCGTGAGTACAACCTCAAGATGGGTGGAGTTGATTTGATCGATAGAATGATTAGCTACTATCGCATGAGCGCCCGTACTAAGAAGTGGACGATGCGGATGCTAATGCACTTCACGGATCTGGCTTTAGCCAACAGCTGGCTGCTCTACCGCAAAGACCTCGCAATATGTGCTGCACCAAAGAAGAGCATCATGCAGTTCCTTGAGTTCCGTACGGAAATGGCTATGACCCTCTTGGCCCAGCATCACGGTCAAGGAAGCGATGCAGACCTCTCTGAACAGTCAGAGGAAGAAGACAACTCAAATCAAGGGAAGAAACGTTTTGTGACGGCAGTGCCCCATGTCTCGGTCCGCAGGAGGGCGAATGCCCATCTCCCAGAGATGATCAGCCTGAAGAACGCGGCGCGCTGCAGGGTAGCAGGCTGCACTGGAAGAACCCGAGTGCGTTGTGTGACCTGCAAAGTGTTCTTGTGCTTGCAAGGCGATCGCAACTGTTACACAGCCTTTCACACATAGGTGTGTACATGTTCCTAAAGAAAAGGGCATTCCTATTTATTTTTTTACATGACCAATGCAACATTTCACATAAGCCATACTGTAACTGTCCAAGTTTTTGTGACTGTTTTGTTTTTTCACAATGATGTTCAAAACACATACAACAGTAGCCTATGTGGTATTATTAGATGCAACAGTGACAATGCAAAATGCTTTGAATGTTTTATATTTTGTTACAGGCATATGATGTCTTCCTGCAACTGTTTGTAGCGTTTTAAATGAGCCGTACTGTAGTTGTGACAGTCCAAAAGGAGCAAAAATGCAGTGTTTTCATGTTGTTTTTACTCTCAGATGTTCAAAACATGCAAAATGATGTGTGTATAAGTTATTAATACATGCAAAAGCAGCCAGGAAAAACTGCTGTGTTCAAGGTGGAAATAAAATAGTTTTTCACTCTATTACAAAAAGGTGACTTATGACTTTTTTGGAAATTCAGAACGAGTGTCCACATATGTGGACATCATTTTTCTCTAAAAGTACATCATGTCAAAAGATGATACTTAGTTGTTATACTTATCAGGTTCCAATAAGCCCAAATAGCAAAGAGAAATAAAAAATGCATATAAAAAAACAGCTTGGGTCTTAGGAGGTTAATGGTTTTCAATGAAATGGAATTTTTGAATGGATTTGTATCTGTCTTTTTGATAAAATGTTCTATTTCATTAGAGTTGTACAGCAATTCCATAGAATTATACCTTGAAACTTTTCTGTTTCTAATGTGTTGGAAAAAACTACAGCTCTTATTAAAAATGTACTGGAGCAGCAGACTGGGTACTTTCATCATTGTATCTCATAGGTTTCTTTCATATTTAATAACATGACCAGCACTCTATAAGTGTACATTTGTTCTAGCTTAAGCTGTTCTCTTTGCTAAAAATATGTCCACAGTGTTTGCAACAAAAACAGCACTGATATTTTTGTATCTAGACATGGATTCAACCACTTTAACTGTTGAGTTTATTCAGCTTTCTTTGAGGATTAATACAAATGTCTTCTCATTTCTGGAAGAGAATGATCTGTTACTGCTTCTTCATTAAGTGTTCACGGTTTCCCAACTTTTAAGTGAAGCGCACAATTCCTTTTTGAAATATAAATGTGCATCAAAAAGCACATAGGAGTTCAAACACGGGAACTCGAGCTAACGTGTAAAATGCCCTTCAGAATCACAATCTGGTTTATTATAAAGAAGGTTACACATAAAAGGAATTTGCTTGGTGCATAACAATAAACATGTGAAGAATGTCTGTGAAGATATAGGGTTGTGCAACGATTAACAGTATAAAGCATGTGTGAAATATGCTGAGATATGAATCCAAAAGATGTGCAACGTACTTGGGGGGGGGGGGGTTGCTTTAACTCTGGGTCACGGAGTTTCCGGCCCTGTTGATGAGGCCAGCTGCAGGAAGTGTTTTTGAGGTTTTAGTCCTGGGAGGGCTCGGCCTCCATCTCTCCGGCAGCCTCAGAGTCCTGGAGGCAACAGGTCCTGCAGCCAATCAGCTTCTCTGCTCAGTGAGTGATGCGCTGCAGTCTGCCCTCCATCTTGGGCAGGTGGCGATGAAGGAGGTGACCATGGACTCCAGACACTGATGGCAGACACTGATCCACTTTTTGTATGCACACATTGAAATGTGCATAAAAGCAGGTGGATGTGGGAAAGGTTGTTTACACTTGGCTGAAGTAGAAACAGAACAGATTCAGATAAATCATTTAACTTCAACGTCGACTGAATCTTCCTCTCCACTGAATACATGAAGCAACAGATTTAACTGTCATTAATAGATGAAACAAACAAATGTAATATTTCCATAATGTTTTCTATGCTTCTTTCAACATTTGAGGTTCGACCGGCACTGTTTTATCTTCTTGTTGCGCCCTCTTCAATGTTACAATAACTTAAATATATAACTCGTAATAATTGCATGTTGGTATTCCAGTTCCTTCCAAATTTTTTTGCCATTTTTCTCAAAATTCGGTTACAATTTCCAATACATTTGGACGGAAACCTGGCTAATCGTGGACGTGAGGAAGTGTGCCATTGTTGTCTGTGACAAGTTCATACACCAAGATAAAGAAAATGTTGGAGTGATGCCAGACAGCATCTTGTTAGAGAAAACCGCTTCACAGACTTGTATACACACACACACACACGATGTTACTGTATTTACCTATAAATATAACTTTTCTTTACTGTTGTGTAAAATATCTGATGCTCACTTCTATTATTGTCTCCTGTTTAGGTGTAACTAAAACAAACAACAGGCCAAAAGTGACGGCGAAACTCTTCTCGAAGGTCATCTCCTCTCACACGGCCATCAGCTCCTCACCCCCGATAAGCAACAAGAGCAACATCCTCAGCACTCTGACGAAAGAACTGTCAATCTGCTTAAACAGACTGCCGCTGGAGAAGTACTCAGTGTACAGACCTGCAAATGGAAAAACATTGGAAGAAGGATTTGAGTTTGCAGGAAAATCCAACAATGGAGTTGCGAAAGAGAAGGTGTCCAGAGGAGGATGGGATGACTGGAGAGGAATATTGGAAAAGGAGAGAGGGAGCAGTAAGGGAGGGAGTAAAGGAGGGAAGGTGCAGAAGAAGAAATTCAGTCCCTCTGATGATCTTGTTGACGATGATGTGTCACCGGATTATGTGCCCCACAAGACGAGGGACTACGCCAAAACATACAATAAAGTCAACCATCCTTCCAGCACATACACACAGCCGAACCAGAAACACAGAGGTAGTTCATCACAATCTAAATCTTTCTTTCTCATTCACAGATGTAAAACAGGTCATGTAAAATATATATAATTAAAACGGTATAAATAAAAGCAATTATTAAGCAAGGAACATTAGTGAAAAACAAAAATAATATTAAAATAAATATATATTGTATACATATATCTGAGTACTAGATTTGTATTTGATATACTGATTTTATCTGTTTCCTTACAGAGAGGGCCATCCGTAAGATCATGGACTTAAAGCTGGAAATTGAGGGTAAGAGCTTAGGCATGTTGTATGTCCTTTTTGATGTGATTAGTTTCTTTGATTTTGTAGCGGAGAATATTGAAGTGAGCAGTTAATTAGTCGTTTTTATGTGCACAGTTCTATATCAATGAATGTGAGGTAATCTATTATTAGGTTTATATGATTTCTAAGGTTTGAAACATATTTATCGTATAACATGAAAGGCATGCTTTTAAATGTAGTCTTTGTTTGTGTTTTGTCTGCAGGCTTTTGTTTGTGCTGTGGTACTGAAGACGTGGAGATATTTCACCCTCTTTTTAAAGGCAGCCTCTGTGTGAAGTGTAAAGTAAGGAATCATCAATTTGACTTTATGTTTCGAACAAGCAGTTACCATTGTACTGTGAATATGTGTGAAAAAGGAAGAAACATTCGTATCCTCCCTATAACACATTATTCGAATAGATTTTTCAGAGGGGTCAAAGTGCATTTGCACTGTTCTTTCTGCTGAGCTCTACCTCTGTTAAACCCTCCCTAACCAGTGTCTGTGATGCTGTCTGTGTCCCTGTAGAATAACTTAACAGAAACTCTGTATCGGTACGATGAAGATGGATATCAGTCCTACTGCACCATCTGCTGCTACGGAATGGAGGTCATAATGTGTGGCAACGACAGCTGCTGCAGGTTGGTTGGTTCATCTCTTTCTCAAGTATTATTAGCTATATAAATAAAAGGTTTTCTTTATTTGTCTAAAAGTGAAATACAGTGTGTAACACATCTGCATTAAAATATCTTAGAATGACCAGACCAATGTAGGCGAGCTCTGTATTTACATCCAACATGTTTCAAATGATGTTCAAACCTAAGAAATATGTCATTTGAATCAAGGTGCGTTTTATTTTGTTGCCTGTCAATGGCATCATATGCTCTTTACCCCCTGTAGTTGCTCTAACTTATAAAATATGTTTTCATAAATTGCATGCTTTGCGCAACACATTTATCCAGTAGAGACATTAATAATAAGATATTACAATCTTGCTAAAGCTTACTTCTGGAACATGGTGGATCATCCCAACCACCAAGTTAATGCATCATAAAGTGAGATTTTATTATGATATAAGTATGATTGAATTAGCCAGACAACATCAGTGGTAGGAGCTTTTTTTTAACTCATCTTATTGTAAGTTATGAAGTTAAGGCTACAAGAACTATCTTTAACTTGTAGCTATACGAATACAAAGTGTTTTAGTCTGAGAGACCCCTAGATAAAGGTATTTTATACTCTTCATTAATTGTCTTTCCAACCCGTTCTGCTCTACCTCTCCATCTGCAGATCCTATTGCACGGACTGTATGGACATCCTGGTTAGTGCGGGGACGTTTGATTCGTTGAAGGAGCTGGATCCGTGGATCTGCTTCCTGTGTCAGCCTCACCGACCGCACGGTGCTCTGATTCCCAGAGAGGACTGGAGCATCCGTGTTCAGGAGTTATTCGCCAACAACAGTGCCATGGAGTTTGTGAGTGATCTACAGAGCTTTTGTTTTAACAATTGTTCATGTCTAACACAGTTATATACAGGGCCGGCCCTAGACTTTTGGGGGCCCTAAGCGAGCTTTGGCTTGGGGGCCCCCCTCACTCTAGCACGTTCTCACTACACACAACACTGAACCAACTTTTGTCTTATGATGTTAGCATAAGCACAAATATTGTATAAATAAGCATGTAAACACAGTGGACCTAACCTCCTCTAGGGGGGTCCTCACCTCCTCTAAGGGGGTCCTCACCTCCTCTAAGGGGTCCAGGGGCATGCTCCCCCTGGAAGATTTTTTTTTTTAAATATTGAAGTTAAAAGCATCAATCTGGTGCACTTTGAGAGCAAAATTGAGAGATCGATGGATACATCTCTCAACACCCATATGAAACGGAACTGTAAGCAGATTTTTCTTTATGGATATTTTACAAATCACTTAAACTGTGTTCTTGTTTTGTCATATAGTATTTCATAACTGTTTTTCATTTATTCTCTCTGGCTGTCCATCTCATAATGTTCACATAGAAACTAGCTGTCAATAGGAATATCATATCATTCAATTATAATTTCTTGCAAAAATCTGTCACAAAAAGAGGTTGCACATTTAAATTCAGGTGTTGTTATGGCAACGTCAGTGGCCAGACAGCCACAGTTACTGCTGTCTGCTGGAAATACGTTCAAACATGCTGTTGACACGTAAAGTAGTGGCAACTATGCCACCATTTCAGCTGACTTTTTCTCAGAAATACTGTCACATAACATCCATATATTTCAGTGCTAGGTTGATGCTTAGATAAGCTAACTATGAAACACTTTAACTGACAGGACTCAGGATCCACTGTGTACTGTAAGGTAGCTTCTAGCTTCATGTCGAACAGTAAGTCAACTTTTCCCAGAGAACTTTCTTTGAAATCACCAGGTAACGCTAAAAAACATAACATTTAGATTGTATGACAAAGTGTTTATTTAATATATCTGGCTAGCTATAGCTACTTGCTAACGGTTTAGCTTACCCCCGCGATTCAAAGTAACGTCAACGTAGCTGTAATTTATGCTTTGCTTACATGTTCACATAACTTGGAAGTTTACTGACATTTACATACCTTGTTTACCTGGCTCAAGTGGTGGCTCTGGGGTTGTTGTGTGAGCCACCACTTGAGAATTTTCGTCTTTTTTAAGGCATTTTTATCTTATGTCCATCTTCAAAAACTCTGAGTCCGACTGACAGTTTATTTTAAACATTGTCACAGCTCACAGGATAGGTACCTGTCAGCCAATAAGACAGATGTTTATTTCCATTCAACTCTCAGGTTGGTCTGGTGTCTTGCCTCTGTTGCATTCACTGAACACGGGAAATTACATTCCTGCCGTCCTCTCTAGTGTCATGATGAGGTTCAGGTAAAGCACGGTTAGTGTATTATATTATTGACTCAATAATATAATACATGACTTTGAGAGTAGACTAGGCATATTAACTAAATTAATTAAACATACTTATCACGGCGACGGTGTACTGAGATAATTTCTCTTTTTTCATTTTTTGCGAGGGGGCCCCTTAGTGGCTGCGGGGCCCTAAGCGGTCGCTTATGTCGCTTAATGGGTCGGGCCGGCTCTGGTTATATATGTGGTTATATATGTTAGCAATTCATTTTCTGTCAATCAACAAGTTAATGATTTGACAAATCTCCTTTTTAATTACGTTTTTTTTATCTTGTAGGAGCCTCACCGTGTTTACCCGTCCATCCCTGCAAACCTGAGGAGACCGATCAAAGTTCTGTCCCTGTTTGATGGCATAGCAACAGGTTAGTGAACACACACATTTAACTTTCTGTAAACAATAAAAATATATACAGGAAAAAGTGAATGTGTTGTAAACTGGAGGGGAAGTAGAGAGATTTTCCTAATTTCTCAATTAAATATGTTCTCCTTTCAAATCAAAGGCAACTTAACAACGAAAATAAGTATTCATTAGAAATGAGAATTTGTGGGGTTCTCCGGCAGGTTCTTGAGCTCCTCTTATTGTAATCAATCATCTCTGATCATTTGGAATTTTCAGTTACAATGTTTACAGGAAAAACACTGTGTGAACTAATTAAGGTTCATAAGATTGATTTTAGCATTGTCTTTGCCCTAACATGCATTTGGGGAACCTGGTCCTTAATCTCATTCAAACTCTGATTTTACAAGTCTTCCTGATTATTTTCCAGGCTTACAGCATGTTTATGTGTGTCTTTCTGTATTTGTTCAGGCTACCTGGTGCTGAAGGATCTCGGCTTCAAAGTAGACGAATGTTATGCTTCAGAGATTTGTGAGGATTCGATTGCAGTGACGACCGTCAACCACAACGGGAAGATCATCCACGTTGGAGACGCCCGCTTCATCACCCAGAAACACGTATGTTCATTTTCTGTACATTTTCTGTACATTTGCAACCTTTCACACAGTTAACAATGTTTTGTCTTTTGTTTGAAGTTCTTATTTGTTGTTGATTTGAGTCATATATTTTTGATATATCTTGACTCAATACTGAACCAAACCATCTCTGTGTTCCTCTTTGACCTCCAGCTGGAGCAGTGGGGTCCGTTTGATATGCTGATCGGTGGCAGCCCCTGTAACGACCTCTCCATCGTCAACCATTTAAGAAAAGGCCTCTATGGTACGTTACTGTTGTATGTGTTTCAGCACTAAATACATTCGATGTCAACAATTAGAAATGCCAAGTTAAACTGCATAATCATTTATTGCACATATGGTCAATGTCTTTGCTGTAATCCCCTCCTCTCTCCTGCAGAGGGCAGTGGCAGGCTGTTCTTTGAGTACTACCGCATCCTCCAGCTGCTGAAGCCCAAGGAGGAAGACCCCAGGCCGTTCTTCTGGCTCTTTGAGAATGTCGTCTTCATGAACACACATGACAAAGTCAACATCTGCCGCTTCCTCGAGGTGGGCAACATTTGATTTCTTTTTATGTTGAGCTCGTTCCTCCTCCTTCTCTTACTGTTACTTTTTCCTCTCGTTTTACCTTTCTCATTTCTTCCCCTTCCTGCTGTCCTCATAGCTCTAGTGCAGGGGTGTCAAATTCAATTTAATCGCGGGCCACATTCGCATTATGGTTGCACTCAAAAGGGCTGGTTGTAACATTAAGACTATATAAAAATACATATATAAATATTTAATATATATAATAATGCATTATATTACATTTAGGGCTGTCAGTCGATTAAAATATTTAATCGCGATTAATCGCATGATTGTCCATAGTTAATCGCGATTAATCGCAAATTAATCGCACATTTTTTATCTGTTCTAAATGTACCTTAGAGGAATATTTTTCAAGTTTTTAATACTCTTATCAACATATGAGTGGACAAATATGCTTTATGCTAATGTTTATTATCATTTGAACAATGACAAATATTCTCATGAATATTAAACACAACAACCTCTGAACATTACAAATATTCGCCTCAATTCAACCTGGAACCTCTCTCATACAATAATACAATACAAATGGTGTGTGTGTGTGTGTGTGTGTGTGTGTGTGTGTGTGTGTGTGTGTGTGTGTGTGTGTGTGTGTGTGTGTGTGTGTGTGTGTGTGTGTGTGTGTGTGTGTGTGTGTGTGTGTGTGTGTGTGTGTGTGTGTGTGTGTGTGTGTGTGTGTGTGTGTGTGTGTGTGTGTGTGTGTGTGTGTGTGTGTGTGTGTGTGTGTGTGTGTGTGTGTGTGTGTGTGTTGGCGCTATGTGCAACTCAAGGCATATGCTCGAACCGGAGCTGCCTGGACGCTGCAATCATGTTGCGCACTATTCGTGCTGAGCGTGCTGACTTTTCGTACAATGTCCCACTGTCTGGCTTCCTGCATAAAGTCAAGTGCTCGGCGCAGTTGTGGCGAAATGTCGCTCCTCTGTTTTCATTTAAACAGCTCCTTCTATCCGTTAGCGCAGCTAGCTAGCACCAGATGCTAACAACAACAATGCACGTAAGGTCTCTCTCTCGCTCGCTCGGGCCACACACACACACACCCTCCCGGTCCTCCCAACAGCCTCACCGGTGCCTGCCGGTGAGCGTGGAAGTGTGGTCTGCCACAAGCGGGCGACAGGAGCGGGGCTGTCAGCATCAGCTTGTAGATGGTATTTTAAACTCGATGCGCTCTGAAACTACGGGGCGGCCGAGGAAAAAAAATACACATGCGTTAAAATAATTAGTGGCGTTAATTTTTTTTTCCGTTAACGCATTATTAACGCGTTAACTTGACAGCCCTAATTACATTATTGCCTCTGCATTGGATTGTTATCGGAGAGGGTAATAACTTCATAATTAACTAGGTCTGAAAGCAGAAGTCTAGGGCAAGTAATTGCAAGTCTTTTCAGTGAGAATGTCACAAAATGATTTAAAAAGAAAAGCACATTCTGGAAAAAAATTCAAAATAAAAAAGGGCATATTTTGAAGAGAAAAAGGGAAATTCTGAGAAAAAGTCAAATTTGAGAAGCATTTTGCTCCATGTATGCGCAACGTGCATCGCCATGTAAATCGCCATGTAACCGTATAATAAACATATTATATTCTTTGCAAGCGCTTGTGGGCCACATTAAATGAAGTTGCGGGCCGGATTTGGCCCCCGGGCCTTGAGTTTGATACCCCTGCTCTAGTGTTTTTCTCAACAAGGATTTATGTGATTATGTGATTCTTCAACAGTGCAACCCGGTGCTGATGGATGCAGTCAAAGTTAGCCCTGCTCACAGAGCACGATACTTCTGGGGAAACATCCCGGGGATGAGCAGGTGAGACTTTCAATTAAACATAAATTATAATGGTTGAATAACTCACAACTAATTATGTCAGACTATGTATTTGATAAGAGTCATATGTTATTGTTAACACATAAGTATTCTATCGTTTTTACTCATTATCTTTGTTGCCCTTTCTTTGCTCTGAACTGCTGTCTCATTGCTTTGTTTAATATGTTCTTACATGTCTTCCCCCCCATCAGGCCCATCATAGCGTCCCAGAACGACAAGCTGATTCTGCAGGACTGTTTAGAGATCGGAAGAGAAGCCAGGGTCAGTGACTGAACCTGCTGCATCACATTTCGTTATTTTGCTCAATGTGACTTTATTTTTACAAAAAATAAATATGATTGTAGGGTTCATCAAGATACAAATAATCACTCTGTGTGTTTTTTATTCCAGGTCACCAAGGTGAGGACGATCACTACCAATTCAAACTCTCTAAGGCAGGGCAAAGGACCGTCGTCTCTGCTGCCCGTCCTCTACAACGGCAGGGAGGACGGCCTCTGGATCACTGAACTGGAAAAGTAAGCATCTTTATAGATGTATTAAAGATTGTGTATTTGTAACAAGCTAAATGTGCTGCACACTAAAATGACAAGAAGAAGACTGTTGGTCTTCCCTGCTTTCAATTATTTATTTTATTTTCAAAAACACTTATGTGTATGTTAGTCATATTTCTGTTGATAGAAATAATCGAATATATTGTTGCAGATCTAAATGTAACACCCTGAGACTTTGACTGATGAGATCTGGTCCCTTATTCTTCTCCAGGATCTTTGGTTTCCCCAAACATTACACGGACGTGAGGAACATGACCCGGCAGCAGAGGCAGAAGGTGTTGGGGAAGTCGTGGAGCGTGCCCGTCATCCGCCACCTCTTCGCTCCCCTCAAGGAATATTTTGCCTGTGAGAAGCTGCCTCCTCTGACCATGTCCTCCATCTCCTCCATCTCCTCCACATCCTCCACCTCCCCATCCTCCCCTGAGTCTCCAGAGATGATGCAACTCAGATAGTTAGTTATGTTTGTGTGGAGGATTTCCGCCACTAGGTGCTTTACAAGAAATGGTTGAGCTGAAATGAACTATGCAGTCTTCTACTAATTTCAATTTCAGACAGGCTTTTGTGGATCACTGCCACAAAAAGCTATTTGTTTCCTTTGCAATTGAGAAACACAGATTTTGTGCACAGCTAGCAGTCACTCTGTCCTCCAAAGACACAAAAGAGGGATGTTTGTGATCCCTTCAGCTCTGTGCTTTAGTTGGTTATTATTTCCCCTGAACTCCTCCACAGGAGTTTAAAGACACTCTCAATCCTTCCTTATTCCCTAAAATGCTCAGTGATTGTTAACACTGCTACCGACCAGCAACACATCTCAGCTTGGAATGGTAAAAGAAGCCGAGACCGGCCTCTGGTTAGTTTCGTGCAAAAGAGTTTTGCAGGAGGAAAGAAAGTCAATCAATGACATACAGGTGCTGATTATGTAATCCAAATGTGGCATAAACCCTTGAGACTTTTAAGCATTTTCAAGTAGATAACAAATGATGTTCACATGTTTAAAAAGGAAGATATTTTTGGTCTGTGAATATTCAATTATTTTTGTGTGTATCATGTTATACTGAGAGCTGCCTCCTTTCTTTACTGTTATATATATCATGTTGGTTGTTTACAGGAGAAAAACTTGCAATATATTTTCATTAGATCAACATCTACTGTAGTTTCATATAGTTTATATTCTGCAGCAAGCTTGGTCGTTATACCAAAATTAACCAAATTGTCGGTATCGATGAGAAGAAACCAGGTTTTTGTGGCTTATTTTCCACAGTATAGACACGGATCCTGTTTTTAATGAATTTCCATAATGTTTTCATCCCTTTTGTTCTCTCTTTTACTGTTTTAGGGAAGTGGAAAGTAATTAATTGTAACGTTTACATGTGTTTTTTAAAGGTTGCATTGATTTTCAGTATTATGTTTTACTTTAGAGAAACAAAATGTTATTTTTAATGAGCCACAAAACTCATCACATATTTGATCCTTCAGTGTTAATGGGGAGACGATCCGAGTCCAAAAGGATCTATTTTTTTCAACCAGCTGCTTATTTGTTATTAAATAGAGTTTCTTATTCTTCAGGAGCACAGGAAGCAAAACATTCATTACCAGATTTTTGTTTTGTTTCAACAGAACATAAGTTGTATTCGACAATAGTGTTTACTGCATTGAATCGACTAATTGTCACAAAATGTTTATATTTACTGCTTTTTTTTTTCTGACAAAGTGTTTGTGAGGATGCTGCACCACTGAGGCATGTGGCCTTATTGACCGATGATTGTAAAGAAAACTACTAGTCTTTTTCTGACTGAAGACTGGATCATAGGAGAATGTTTTTGAAAAGTGTTTTTTATTTGAATGAAAGTGGGCTGTACTCTATTTTTGCACAGAACACCAGAGGGCTGCATTGAGAGGTACACAGGGTTACATGTTCATGTTTAAATGTGGGTAGAGTACACTACCAGATATTTTTATTGTTAAGGGAAATAATGTATATTTTGCAAAGTCATTGTTTGAAAATAAGGATTCATTTTACTTGGGACTTGACAAGACAAATAAAAGAAAAAAATTGCAAAATGATTCCACGGATGGCTTCTCTTTTTCTTTGGTTTTTTCTTCACAATTTGGGTAGTAGAGTAGATTTTGGAAGACTATATTTAAATGTCATTTCTTCTACCTTGTAATCAGGATGTACCGGGATTCCTTTAACTTTATCATGTACAGTTTTTGAATTTTTCATTCATCAGTTTTTTTTAAACCAGGTGTTTGACTCAAGTGTACTTATCAATACTACACCAACATTAAATTATACCTCCTTTGAAAGCCTTGTTTTTAGTCTTACGCATCCGACCTGGAAAACTTTGTAACAATCTTATTTGTTACAGTGTACCGTGCACCAGGTCCTTATTCAGAATTATTATCGGAATTCTCTGAGTTTTTATCAACTTTGGTTCTTAAAACAGATAGTAATTACCGTAGTTGACTTTAATATTCATGTTGACGACGATAAAAAATAGCCTTACTGTTGCATTTAACTCTATATTAGATTATATTGGTTTCCGTCAGATTGTAAATAAACCAACCCACTGTTATAATCACACTCTCGACCTTGTTCTGATTTATGGTATTGAAATTGAGCAACCATTAGTCGAACCGCATAATCCTGCTTTATCTGACAATTTTTTAAGTAACTTTTGAAGTACTGCTACTAGACTACAAAGCATTAGTCAAAAGCTCCTGCAGCAGAAACCTATCTGTGAGTGCTATAGCCACATTTAAGGAAGAGATTCCATCAATACTTAACTCGATAGCATGTCTGCATGTAGGGGAGGAAACTTATACAAAATGTACACCACCCCAAATTGATCATGTTGTTGATAGTGCTATAGATGCGCTTAGAATAAAATTAGACTCTGTTGCTCCTTTGAAAAAGAAGAAAATAAAACAACATAGATTAGCTCCATGGCATAATGCCGAAACCCGCAAAATAAAGCAAAAGTCGAGACAACTTGAAAGGATATGGCGTTCCACTAAACTTGAAGAATCTCGTTTAATTTGGCATATTACTCTCAATGAATATAAGAAAGCACTGCGTAAAGCGAGAGCAGCCTACTACTCTTCATTAATAGATGAGAATACGAATAATGCAAGATTTATTTTCAGCACTGTAGCCAGGCTGACAGAGAGCCACAGCTCGATTGAGCCTTCTATTCCCTAATGATTTTATGTGCTTTTTTAATGATACAATTGTTACTCTTAGAAACAAAATTAATGACCTCTTGCCTTTGACCAGTATAGTGTTATCAACAGCTCCGGGAAATGTAAGTTCTAATATTACACTAGATAGTAAATTAGAATGTTTTTCAGCCATAAACCTTGAACAATTAAATTCAATGATTCTCTCTCCTAAACCATCAACATGTATCTTAGACCCGTTTCCAACTAAGCTGTTGAAGGAAGTCTTTCCATTAATTAACACTTCTTTATTAAATATGATGAATATGTCTTTATTATCAGGCTATGTTCCACAATCATTCAAAGTAGCAGTGATAAAACCTCTTCTTAAAAAGCACAACATTGATCCAGAGGTTTTAGCCAACTATAGACCTATTTCTAATCTTCCGTTCCTCTGAAAAATGATTGAGAAAGCGGTGTCAAAACAGTTGTGTGATTACTTAAAAAACAATGATTTATTTGAAGATTTTCAGTCTGGCTTTAGAACACATCATAGCACAGAGACAGCTCTGGTTAAAGTCACAAATGACCTTTTAATAGCCTCAGACAAAGGACTTGTCTCTATTCTTGTCTTGCTCGATCTCAGTGCTGCATTTGATACTATCGACCATGATATCCTATTGCAAAGACTAGAGCACTTAGTTGGCATACAGGGAACTGCTTTAGGCTGGTTTAGGTCCTATCGATCTGAACGCTCTCAGTTTGTACGTGTCAACGATGAATCTTCCACGCAAACCTAAGTTAGCCATGGAGTGCCACAGGGCTCAGTGCTTGGACCTATTTTGTTCACATTATATATGCTTCCGTTAAGCAATATTATAAGGAATCATTATGTAAATGTTCATTGTTATGCAGATGATACTCAACTATATTTATCAATCAAGCCTGATGAAAACAATCATCTAAATAAAATTCAAGACTGCCTCAAGGACATAAAAACATGGATGACCTTACATTTTTTTTATGTTAAACACGGCCAAAACTGAAGTTTGGTTTGCCTTGCCATCTTACCTTAAATAACTCATTATACCCTACTGTCCTACTAGGGCATTGCGTTCCAAGAATGCAGGGTTGTTGGTTGTTGGGGTGCATTCACACCTAACGGCCCGTCCACACAGCGGCGTGCGTTGACGCTTGCCGGCGGGCGTGTCTGACACTCGACCAACAACCAATCACATGAATCTCCCGCCCCAGACACACAAGCACGCGGTTTGATTGGCTAGAGCTTGTACTGGCATATGATTGGATTGGCTGACGCGAATCCCGGCCATTTCTACCGGAGCCTCCGCCATGGAGCATCGGCACTTTCGGCAGGTTATTCTCATGCAGCTGTTAATCTGGAGATCAATCAACAGACACTAGCGGCCCGCGCATATGATTATAATCAGACAACGTCCGTTAGAAAACATTATAACACATATAATGAGACGTTCTGCAGTAAGGAGGGGCGTTTCACAGACGACAGGTGTCCTTACTTGTATGTAGTTGACGGAGTATTTTTACTTTACACGACACTGTTCAACACTTAATTCTGCTTCACTCTTTACATTAACAAACGCGGATGTCTTGAAAGACTCTTTCGCTAAAGATTTTGAAGACATCCGCGTTCTTGTGACACGTAAATACTACGCTTCGTATGTTTCGGTGCGGACTGCGTTCACACCAGCAATGAACCGCTCCAGAGTTCGCAAGCAAGTGCTCCGAGACCACCTATTTTAGCGGACCAGAGTCCGGTTGTTTAGTTCACTTCAGAGGTCTCGGACTGTGTTCACACCGACCCAAATGAACCGCACCAAGCGGCTAAACGCACCAGGGTTCGATTCAACCGGACTATACAAGGCAGGTGTGAACGCTAAAAGTACAATGGGAGCCAGAGCCTTTTCTTATCAAGCTCCACTTTTGTGGAATCAGCTTCCAGTTTGTGTTCGGGTGGCAGACACCCTATCCGTTTTTAAGAGTGCGCTTAAGACCTTCCTTTTTGATAAAGCATATAGTTAGGGCTGATTAGATTCAGCCGCTAGTTTTGCTGCTAGGCTTAGACTGTCGGAGGACCTTAGTTCTTCCTTCTCTCTGGCTGTACCTGTGTACTCTCATGTTCCGAATATTGAATATTGATTGACTGATATTCTGTACAAACTGTGAAGTCCACTGAGACAAATGTAACATTTATGATATTGGGATATATAAATAAACATTGATTGATTGATTGATGTTCACAAATCCCATATTATCCTGTCAGTTTCCACAATTCTAACAAAACTCAGATAATTCATTAAAAATACTGACAGTCCTTTGTTGTCTTTAACAAAAGCCACCATGTAACTCTCAAATGAATCATGAAAATTAATAATACATAATCTAATATATCACAAAAGATGATTGTGAAACAATGAAAAACAAGTGAAAATGTGTCAAATGTAGATCCTTACATAACACGTGTAAAATTGTATATTTTTGTGATTATTTAATATGATTATACTATACAAAATGCAATATTTGATATTTTAAATATAAAAATGAGAACAAATAAAATAGAGTTTGATATTTCAGATTAAATATTTGTTGAATAGACAATTAATTTGAAATGCCTTATTATTCCTTGTGTTTTTTATAGTGCTAATATATTGTTTTCTATCCGTTCACTGTGTTCTATATGCATGGATGCATGGATGGGTTGAGGTCTAGGCATAATATTACCCCGTCACCAAGGCCGCCTTAATGCACGGTCTGACCTGGACTGAAGCCCAGGGGCCTACGGAGATCGGGGGCCTATCATGAGCCAATAAAAAATGCATTATTTTGTAATTCGTCAAATGTTCTGTCCATCATTTGATCTGAATGTATGTGGCTGGACTGTCAACCCCACTCTTTTTTCACACTCTCTTTTTTCACACTCTCTCTTTCTCTTCACTCCACTGTGTAGTTCTCTCACACAATATATTCCTGTTATTCTCAACAGCAAAGCACAGGTGCATCAGGTGCATGTGTAAGTGAGATGGTTGCTGCACCTGTTGTCTGGCACACACACACACACACAAACGCTCTTATTTTATATCAGACCACAGTGGCAAATACTAATCCACTGACACCATTGTGATCCAAGGTTCATGGTATTGTGGGAATTCAAATAGTGTGTGTGTGTGTGTGTGTGTGTGTGTGTGTGTGTGTGTGTGTGTGTGTGTGTGTGTGTGTGTGTGTGTGTGTGTGTGTGTGTGTGTGTGTGTGTGTGTGTGTGTGTGTGTGTGTGTGTGTGTGTGTGCGCGCGCGGGCGCGCCTGATGGCAGGTTAAGGCTGGCCTGCCCGTGACAGTTTGTAATAATGCGTGCAAAACAAACAACACCCTATACCGGTCCGGTGGCATCCGTGTTTACCAAAGTATGGCGGCGCAAGGAGACCGCGGTGTCCCGTTCAGTACTGTAAGTAGGATTTACTTGTATTTAATGTTGACAAACTGTGGCGTGAACTGCACCACTGAGGTTCTAATAAACTATATGTATCGTTAAAGAGTTAAATCAGAAAAACTCTGCCTGTGTGTGTTGCCAACTTTGGGTACCTGGCTGGAGTGAGATTTTGATATCATGGGTTTAATTACACATATGCGCACTAAATGACTGCTATCGTGTCAGCAGCGGGACCTTAGCCTATATATGATATATATATATATATATATATATATATATACAATATATACAGTGTTTCCCCTACCATTGTCTTGGAGGGGCGCTGCGCCCCGCCAACGGAGCCCCACGCCCCCCCTGAAATTCAAGGTGTTAAAAAAAAAAGAATTATAAAAAAAGATTATAATTTTTATAATATATATATAGCACCAAATTGAAACTAATCTATATCTACTGTCACTTTTCACATTGAACATGTGCTCTTTTATTAAATAAACTAAACGCTTTCATTTAAGTTGTGAGTTTAGTGTTTTTGACCCTAAGAAACACTGATGCATTAATCAATGACAATAATCCACAGCTCCTCTCTCTATTAATTAACGCACTCTCATACTCTTTGACTCTATTTTGGCCTAGTAGAACAATAAGCAGCAGACTTTTACTTTTTATAATTTCTACTGGATCTTAGATCTGCACATGCGTAATACGGGTCGGGGATTGACCAACCGGCTCCCACTGCTCTGCTGTCTGCTAACGTTGTTAAGAGTGGTGGGGGCGGGGAGGGAGCGGATCGACAGCTTGAGCAGCTGTCAACTCAACATTGTAAATAACCAACCAAAAACGATCGCCGGTTCATCTGGTTTTTGGCGTGAGAATAGTTTGGGCAGCGTGAGAGCGTGACATTGAGAGTGAAAGCGTGAGAGCGTGACATTGAGAGTGAAAGCGTGTGTCACACGCCAGATGCGTGAGAGTTGGCAACCCTGGTGTAACTCACTTAACAAATAGTGACTTATGCCATGCTCTTAAATAATGTTTGTTCTCTGACCACCTATCCTCTGGGACACATTGATTAAATATGAAAAGATGGATGTATGAATATAAGGCCGCTTTGATGTAGTTATTGTGTACTTTTTTAATTTGCTTCCCTTGCAGCTTAGTCCCAAATATCTTCATGCTAATTCCACCAGCCACACCTGGCCCTTCAGCGCCATAGCTGAGCTCATCGGTGAGTCCTCATCACATGATTTCTTCTCTGCTATTTGTTAAGTATTTTTAGTTCTCATTTTACTTTAAGATAAGATAAGAAGGATATTTTTTTATCCCCATGGTTTCATTTAGATATCCATAGCATTAAAGGCTTGAATATCTTTGTATTACTTTGCAGTACTCTATTATTGTTAAATTCCACCTTTGCAGCGTAATAAGGAGAGAGATGCACCTTGTAAGCTGCTGTAAAATGATAATAGGCCTGTTATATTCACGCACACACATCATATCGAGGAAAAAATCCTGGTGTAAATCTGATCCAAAATACATTTCTACTTCCCTTCATGTGGGAACTTCAAATGCTGGAGGTTGCCCCTTCTGGTGGGAATTTATTTATCAAATGTGGATAAAGGATCAAACCATTCAGCTGTCTTGAGGTATTTTATTTCTTGCAAGAAAGTTCAGTCGGTCATACAGAGAGCATTCTATCTGCAGAGTGAAAGATGAAAAATAGTGTTTGGGTTGCATATTTAAACACAGAGAGAGGAGAAAGGGAGGGGTCAAGCTTGGCTATAATGAAAGGAGCATTCTGGGAGTTAGGGAGGCCGTATCAGGATGTTTTCAGTTCATGGAGTGTAACTAGCAACATTGCAACAAATCTTCTTATTAATGACTTTTCCAAAGCTTAGCAAAGAAGTGGAAGCCAGTAAATAAAGATAAACATTAGCAAATAGAATCACACATTGTAGGAGCCATTTTGTGGGTGATGTTGGTGTGTCAGTTTATTTCAGTTATATGTATAGTGCAATATTATTTATGAACACTGGGTGGCAGGGTTTAGCTGCACCGGGTGTATATAAGGAGGTCATAGGTGACAGGAGCGGTGTGGACACAGTATGAGAAGAGCATACCGATTTCACCAGCCCGGCAGATGCTCATAGAATCACTAGAACGCTAAATTAACCCTGGTATGTAAAGACGAATAAACATCATCATAAACCACAACTAAGGACCGGAAAATCATCTGTTTGTGTCTGCGTCTGGATCACTTTTCAACCCTTCTGTGAAAGTAACGGCAAAAATATATAGGACATAGGAAAAGGAAATTGCCATTACATTAAGTGGAATCGTACTTTTGAGTGAAACTGGACAATTGGATTCACTTCAAATTGGATTAAGGATCGTTTTCGGGGAAAACAAATAATTGGATTATTGCACCATCGACTTCTCATCACGGATCAGCTGCACACGCCACAATCAGCTGGAGATTGTTCCCACCTGCGAGGACCGAAGAGGCTGAGAGAGGACTGGGAAAGCGGCCGGGTATGTGCACCGTGCAGCATGATAAGTAGATTGTAAAAGAGATATTAAGCTGTATTGGACAATGGCTTAGTAAATGGATGTGGTGCTGCAACATTGTCAGCTGTTTGAAACAGCGCGCTGTCAGCTAACGGACAATTCCTGAGAACGAAACTTAAAGGGACAGTGAACATTAATCATGTCTGTGACATCTGACGTCACGTCACAAGATGGCGCTGTTGGACTGCAATCTGTGAGAGAAAAAAGGATTATCACTCACACTGCCAAAGGATTGGAATTGTTTATTGCAAACTGCCAAAAAGCAAGAAACTTCAGTTACAAACAAGTAAAGAAGTTAATGGAAGTACTGAAAGAGCTTATGAGCTCAGAAGACAATGCAAAGGAAATACAGTTGAAACTGGTTGAATTTAAGAAGTTGTGTGATGAACTAAAAGAAAATCACAAATCATTAACTGACCTTCAACTGCTTGAAGAAGAAATGGGAAAGCAAAGGCAGTGGCTGCAAGAAAAGATGCATATATTTGATGGATTTATACAAGATGCAAATGTGTGGTTATCTGAGAGTGGACAGGCAATTAGACCCTCTATTGTGGGAAGTGCCATAGAACAAAGTGTCAGCTCAGATGACATCGGACCTGATGACAGCATTTCAAAGGCATCACACCCTCAGTCAAAATACAAACCTGGTTCATCACACGCATCATCTACCTCTTCTGCTCGAATTAAAGCCCAGGCAGAAAGGGCGGCTTTAATCGAAAGGGCGGCAGCACTGAACAAACAACATGAGCTTGATGTAGAAGGGGAACAATTAAAACACCAGAAACAACAGTTGGAACAACAGAAACAACAACAGGAACAACAGTTGGAACAACAGAAACAACAACAGTTGGAACAACAGAAACAACAGTTGGAAGAACAGGTGAAACGGAAAAAGGAACAACTGGATATACAAACTAAGCTGGCAGAAGCCAATGCCAGGCTAAACGTGCTCAGCATGGGATCAAGACACACCTCTAGAGCATCAGATGGGATGAGCTCTTACTTAAACCCTACAGCAAGATTTAACGTACAGGCCACTGAATTCTTGCCTCATCAAGCCCAAACCTCTATTCCCAGACAAAGTATACAGACACATGTGCGGGGACATGTTGACATCACACTACCTGTAATCAACAATGGTAATCAAGGTGACATCTATAACCTAATCCAGAGGCAAAATGACAACACTGCTATGCTGGCTCAACAACATCTCACTTCTACTTTACCTCCAAGAGACATTCCTGTTTATGACGGTGACCCATTGCAGTTTGAAGCTTTCATCCGTGCATTTGAAAGAGGAGTAGAGCGGAAAACTAATGATGAAAGTGACTGCCTGCATTACCTAGAGCAATACACTAGAGGACAACCACAGGACCTAGTGCGCAGCTGCCAACATCTGCCTCCAGCTCAAGGTTATCAAAGGGCAAAACAGCTGCTTAAAGAGCACTTTGGTAATGAACATAAGATCGCCACTGCATACATGAACAAAGCATTTACCTGGACAATGATCAAAGCCGAAGATGTGAAAGCACTGCAAGCCTTCTCTTTGTTCCTAAGAGGTTGTTGCAATTAAATGGAACATCTCACCTATATGGATGAAATGAATGTTGTTTCAAACATGAAACACATACTTCAGAAACTACCCTACAAATTCAGAAGCAAGTGGAGGAATAGAGCATGTCAGCTACAGGAAGAGCGTGGGCATCGAGCTACATTTCCTGACCTTGTTAGCTTCATAGAGAGGCAAGTGAAGATACTGTCAGATCCTCTGTTTGGAAGCATCCAGGATGATAAACCAACTGCAGCTATCAAAACTGTTATCTCTACCTTTTCAAAGGGAAAACCAAGCCTAAGAGCAAGTAGTTTTGCAACAATTATTACCTGCCCAAGAACACCAGTGCTAGAACATGTAACAACGAATGGAATGAAAATACCTCCATCAAGCCACAACTCCCTACATTTGTGTTTGTTCTGCAGAAGAAGTGGTCACTCATTGGAGCAGTGTCCACACATCCTGAAGAAAACACACAGAGAAAGAATGGACTTCTTGAAAGGAAAAGGGGTGTGTTTTGGATGCCTAAAAATAGGACACATGAGCAAACACTGCCACAGTCGTTTGACATGTTATGTGTGCAATCAAAGTCATCCTGAAATACTCCACATTGAACAAAAAGGCAAAAGAGAGGAAGCAGAACACACAAAACAGAATGGGAAGCCAATGGAAAGTAATAGTGTCATCTCACCTCATACATGTGGTCACATTGGGGCCGGTGATGAAAACTCCATCTTCTCCATTGTACCAGTACAAGTAAAGAGCCACAAAGTGTTACAAACTTATGCATTTCTGGACCATGGAAGTTCATCCACCTTTTGCACAGAAAGTTTAATGAGGAGGCTAAACCTTACAGGACAAAGGACTAATATTCTCCTAAAGACAATGAATCAGAGAAAGATTGTGTCTAGTCATCATATCTCAGGTTTGGAAATATCGAGTCTGGACGAAAACAATTTCCTTCAACTATCCGATGTGTTTACACATAAAACCATGCCCGTTTCCAAGCACAATATTCCTCTACAAGAAGATCTGGAAAAATGGCCTTACTTAAAGGACATCAAAATTAATGAAATTGCTTCTGGCATTGACCTACTCATTGGGACAAATTCTCCTAAGGTATTGGAACCTTGGGAGCTGATCAATAGCCAAGGAGAAGGACCGTACGCTGCAAAGACCCTACTGGGGTGGGTCTTCTATGGTCCCCTAAAAGGAAGCAACGACAGCAGAGATGCTAATGGCCACCCTGCTGCTGCTGTTAATCGGATAGCCATGGTACACCTAGAGGAGCTATTGGTCAAACAATACAAGCATGATTTCAAGGAAAATACAAGCAAGGAAACAGAGGAAATGTCCAGAGAAGACAAACAATTCCTGAACATTATGAATCACTCTGCAAACATGTCAGACGCCAAAGAGGATGGCGATGTTGTAGCGGACGCCAAAGAGGATGGAGATGTTGTAGCAGACGCCAAAGAGGATGGCGATGTTGTAGCAGATGCCAAAGGAGACAGTGATAGGGATGTTGAAGGCAAAACTGAGGGCCCCCAAGAAGAAGAAGATGAGGGTCGGGATTCAGGTGATTACTATGAAGAGGCAGAAGACGAGCCTTTTGAAAGCCAGCCGACTTCAGACTCCTGTCACAGCATGCCTGACTTCACAGCAGATGTCGAGTTACACCAATCTGACGCAGTGCCTGAGGAAGAAGCCAAGCCTGTGGCCGAGAAAGTGAAGATGTCAGATGGACACTACTGCCTAGACTTGCCATTCAGACAAGAAAATCCCAGCTTGCCCAACAACAAACACGTTACCGAGCAGCTCATCTGCGATTTTGCTGCTATGGTAGCAGGGCACCGGCTGAACCCAAGTGACAGACCTGAAGAAGTGACTGACTCATCAATGCAGGAGCCCTATAAGGAGAGGCTTGGAATTGGGTGAAAATATAACCCACAGGTTCTCTCAGCGCTGGACGGGATGGCAACACTACTGCTTCAACCTAAGAACAGCAAAGACTGATGACCCTTAAAATAAGGGAGAAGAAAATAAACTAAAAATTATTTAAGAATTACATGCTAACACATACACACCATTTGTATAGCTCCTTTATTATTTATTGGTAATTGTTTTTGTTTTCATACTAAAGCCAATTAGGGGCCGGTGTGTAGGAGCCATTTTGTGGGTGATGTTGATGTGTCAGTTTATTTGAGTTATATGTATAGTGCAATATTATTTATGAACACTGGGTGGCAGGGTTTAGCTGCACCGGCTGTATATAAGGAGGTCATAGGTGACAGGAGCGGTGTGGACACAGTAGGAGAAGAGCATACCGATTCCACCAGCCCGGCAGATGCTCATAGAATCACTAGAACGCTAAATTAACCCTGGTATGTAAAGACGAATAAACATCATCATAAACCACAACTAAGGACCGGAAAATCATCTGTTTGTGTCTGCGTCTGGATCACTTTTCAACCCTTCTGTGAAAGTAACGGCAAAAATATATAGGACATAGGAAAAGGAAATTGCCATTACACACATGATTATGTATTAAAGTAAATAAGTGGGTATAATATGTTTCTGTTACATTGTCTTCTCTCGACAGACAATGCCTATGATCCAGATGTCAATGCCAAACAGTTCTGGATTGATAAGATTGTGGTCAAAGATAAGGACTGCCTTAGCTTTATGGATAATGGATATGGACTAGACAAAGATAAAATACACAAGATGCTCAGGTAATTTGAAATGGCTCACCAAACGAATGTTGTACATGATACATTCGTGTATAAACCATGCTGTTATTCACTAAAGAATTTATGCATTTCCCCCCCTTTTTAAGCTTTGGCTACAGTGACAAGACTCCTATAAACGGTGTAACGCCGATTGGTATGTACGGCAACGGTTTCAAGTCTGGATCCATGCGCCTCGGCAAAGACGCCATCGTGTTTTCAAAGTCAAAGAGTGTGTCCTGCGTTGGGATGCTCTCTCAGACCTACCTGGAAGAGATTGGTGCTAAACAAATAATTGTTCCTATTGTATGCTTTGAATGGAATGAAAAAAGCAAGTATATCCTTTACCTGCTGCGTTAAGGCATGTTGCTTCATGTAAACTAAATGTAAATTATGAAAATGACATGCAAATCCCAGCATCTGATGGAATGGGTGCTAGATCAAATGTAACCGAGAAAGAACAAGAACAGATAGATTCTAAACACCAAATGTGACAGCTCAAAATGTTACACAGCAGCATTCCTATCCTTCAGACGAGAGTTGTAGAAAAATATTATGAGAACCCAAATAGTTTGCTTAACATACAAATGTAATCATACACCAGATACATATTTCCAATTGTCCTCATTTAAGAAGTTTTCCTTAACTTGGGCTATACTCAGTGTAAAAGAAGAACACAAGGCCAGTCTTCAGGACATCCTGAGCTATTCCCCATTCAACAAAGTGGACGAAATTCATGCTGAGATCGAAGCCATCAGTTCCCATGGGTCCGAAACCGGCACACAGATCATCATCTGGAATCTCCGCAGGTCTGAGGGTTCTTCACACACACACAAACCGTTATGTTTTATTTCGGAGACCAAGGGCTAGTAGTTCCTGTACATGCCTGATCAAACTACATCAACTATTCTAATTTAGTCATCATTAATTTAAACATGACTTATGAGGTAATAAAAAGTCAAAGCTAGATGTTTGAATAAAAATGTGTTTCACAACCATGTGTCCACTTTGGCTTTAAATCTGTTTCCAACAAACAGCAGGGTTACCTATCAACAATGAATAACACTATAGTTCTGCATGTTAATTGCTGTTTGATGTCAGTTGTTGGTATTAGGGAGGCCCAATAACTCAAAGATTATGATAATGACTGATCACCAATGTCTTTGTTTTATATTTTTAACAGTACATCTAGTAGACCATCAGAATTTGATTTTGAGAGGGACCGCTACGATTTCAGAATACCATCTGAACTCGACGAGACAATGAAGGACGCTGTTCCAAAACCAGGTCCAAGTCAAGCGACCGAGTCAAACACCCCTGAGAGTGTTTCCTCACTGCGGGTAAGTAGCTGTTTTTGTCGCCCACAGTCACACATTTCATAGTGATACGTATACAATCATGAAAACTGAGGCCAATTAGGTTACATTATGCAACTTACACAAGTGTCGTGTAAAAAAAGGTAAAGCTTCCAGTTTACAAATAATGAGAATGTATTTTTTATGGAATTAGGAGTTTTTCACTGGATCTCAGTGAAAAAATTCACTGAGATCCAGTTGGAAGAAGGATTCTTATCTTAGCTTCAGAGTCAACACAGAGGATTGTGTTTTGGATTCATGCTGCCAGGGAGTAAGGGACGACACACAAGGAGCTTTGTCTGCCTTTCCATTTGCATCCTGCATTTTAACCCAATGGAGGGAGACAGACAAAATGCCAAAACACAAATGCAAATTATGACTAGGGAATTCCAGGATGACTCATTTAACATCTTGTTGTAATTGTGATCTAAAGCAAGATTTATGGCACTCCTGCGATGTGTCACCACAGCCCTGACCCTGCCCCCCCCCATACTTGATCAAGGAAAAGGACTACTTGTTTATTTGAATAATTTATAACCAACACAAGTATAATCAGAAACATAACGTATTTAAACATGACTGTTGTGTAACTCAAAATGTTAACTGTACCAGTGTTAGTCAACACACATTGGATAAATAGTCAAATAATAAATCAGTATGCTATAACAGCATAATACAATTCCTTGCATTATGGTAGGTCGATTTTTGATGTGTTTTCTTCAACAGTAGTACCTTAATTGTAGGTTTATAAAACATATTTTTCTTTTTGAAATCGTATGATAAGTAGGCAAATTGAATCCATTTAATTGTAGATAATCTGTGTTGTGTCCAAGAGAAAAAGAGAATTTCCTTAAAACCTGATACTGATTTTTGATATCTCTTCCGTTGTATTGGGTTATAATTGTGTTTCTACTGTCTGTAGGCATATTGCAGTATTCTCTACTTGAAGCCTCGGATGAAAATCATCATACGGGGTCAAAAGGTGAAATCTCAGCTCATTGCTAAGACACTGGCCTCCGTCAGAAAGGACCACTACAAGCCCACTTTCCTGGTATCCTTTCTCCACAGAGAATAGATAATTGTGTATGATTTGGGACATTTTGTTGTTCATCTTTGTCTTGTCAAGTGTTTGAGTTTCCCTTACATTTTCTTTTAGACCAAACGCATTCCCATCACTTTTGGCTATAACACCAAAAGTGAAGACCAGTATGGCATTATGATGTATCACAAGAATCGGCTCATCAAAGCCTATGAACGTGTAGGCTGCCAGCTCAAGGTGAGTTGGTGTTGTTTTGTGGAGCGTGTTTGTATATTACACATTTTCAAGGGTTTCTAAATGTCATCATCTGGTATTCATGTTTCTGAACCGTTGCCTTCTGCAGGCCAACAAGGAAGGAGTTGGGGTCATTGGGATCATAGAGTGTTTCTTTCTGGAACCTACCCACAACAAACAGAGCTTTGATGAGACAGATAAGTACAGGTAAGACTATCAATTCTGTTTTGATTATATCGGTACGATTACGGCCCAGGAATACAGAAATCTGAAGTATTCATGTATTTTTATAGGAAAACAATGAACAACTTGGGGACCAAACTGAAGGAGTACTGGAATGAAATTGCCTACAAGAAAAAACAAGAGAATCCAAACAGCACCATACCCATGGAAGATATCACGTTAGTACATTTTGCAGGGACTATCATCGTGTATTCTACACGTTTATTTGTCTAGCAATGTTTGCCTCTTTCTTTGTCCTTAGGAAGCGACCAGATCAAAACTGGGTGCAGTGTGATGAGTGCTTGCGCTGGCGCAAACTCCCTGATGGGATCGACGACCTCAAGCTGCCAGAGAAATGGTACTGCCATTTGAACCCGGATCCTCAGTTCAGGTAACGAGAGCATTCTCCTAACCCCTGTTGCAATGATAATAAGCTTCTGTGATAAATAAACTAATATACATTTCTAAGTGATTAAAACGCAATAATCATAGTATTGACTCCAACTTGATCTCCAGGTGCAGATTGGCTGTTTGTTTATAGCTGTAATAACTTGTTTATAATACTAGTTAAGCCAGATAAGCAGGGACATTGCTGGACTACTGAGCGGTGCCTAATCAAGACAGTTGGGTTAAGAGTCACATGTGAACTGGCTGAGTAGATTTATGATAGTTAATAACCTCTGCAGGGCATGGTTATAGGTCAAAAAATCATAAGGCAAGGCAAGTTTATTTATATAGCTCATTTCAACACAAGGCAATTCAAAGTGCTTTACAAAAATGAAAGACATTAAGAAACATGTTATAAAATGACATTTAAAAACACTCATTTAATGGCAAAGATACATGAATACAAGTGACAGTGCAGTGTGAGATACACACATCTGAAATGTTTAGGTCTGACTCTCAATCATTGCTAACTTTTTAGCAGAAATAGATTTCTATGACCTCACTTTCTTTCTTAATCTGACCCCATGGTACCTTTCAGTTTTCACCGAAACTATTCCTCTTTTTTAAATGCACATTAGTTAAGTTTAAGTTGTCTTTTCTATTTAACACGAATCTCAGTCTTCCACATAAATACTACTCCAACTTTTGCCACATTGTTCTGTGATTTGAAATGAGAAGCATCTTAATGTTCTCTCCCAGGAGCTGCCAGGCAGAAGAGGAGCCTGAGGACTCAGATGACGATCTGCAACCTTCATACTGCAAGACGTATAAACTAAAGTGAGTCCCAATGTACATTTTTGACACTGCCCAAAAAGGTAATTTAGTGCTCGGACTCAAAATTAATTGCATGTATTGTTGGGAAATCAACCACACCCTAAATGTTTCTGAGGTTTGTATCTTTATCCTCACCTGTAATCGACTGGCCAACTTTCCGATCATATATTTTTGTATCAAGCTGCCAAAATCTTCTTTAATACATTATTTGAGCATAATAAAGGAAGTGACTTGCCTTGCCTAACCTGTGCTTGTGTATTATCTACAGAGAAAAGGAAGAGCAAAAGGTAAGGACGCACCCTATGCTGTAATTCACCTGTTTCCTCCACATGGTACCAAGTTGGGTATAAAAAGTTATTTGAATGATAATATTTGTTTCCAATTATTTAAAAGTATACATTTATCTATTGGCACTAAAACATGTATTTATTTTTCTAGGCTGAGGAGGCTCAAAAGCATCAGGAAGCGCTGCATTTGGCTAATGTCACCAAGCAGAAACAGGCCCAAATACATCCGCAGGTTGGGAGAGCCGACTAACCGTGATGTCATTTTACTGAAGACATCGTTTGTGTTTAACGGTCTATGTTTTTCTTTTTGTTGTTCTTGTTGACAGGCTGTGGCTCCCCCCTCCACACCTACTACCCCAAAGAGTAGGTTTAACAACGTTGCCCCAAGGGGGGGCTGGTATGTGTGTCTGGTGTTATGTGTGTGAAAGAGAGAGAAAACGTTTTAGAGATTTAAAAATATCTGTTTTATTTCTCTCTAGCTTGCAGCCCAAGTAGCAGTGATCTTCCAATTAATCCCCCCCAGAGGTAGTTTTTATCTGCCGTTTACAAGCATAAATGTATCCATGTGACTTTGTTTAAGAAGCATTCTAATTGTGCTTTGTGTGCATAGCAAGGGGAAAAGAACCCAGCCTGCTTCTCCACAAATGACCCCCAAAAGACAGAGACAGAATGGCTTCGCTCAGGGCAAATTAGACCCATCAACATCAGTGAATGTGAGCCCACTGAGCTCCCCATCAGTTCTCAGTGATAACGAAAATGATGATGACATTTGCATCTTGGAGTGGGCCAGTACCCCCAAGCCAAATCTGACCGTCAACTTGTCTAAAGTGAAGACCGAGGCGGAGCAAAGTGATGCTGAGGTGGTCAAGGTGATGGAGTGCAGCGATGATGCTGCTTTGGATAACGGCCCAGAGATAAATGCTGCGGGAACGAGCTCTACAGCGTCTGCAGCTGTGGGAACCAGTACCTCCACAGCACCCCCCACAGAGGTGTCCACTAGCACCACCCAAATCACAAACCAAACTGAAGGGGAGGAGAGAGTGGCGCTGAGTACATCTAATAAGAGTGATATAACAAAGCCTTCAGGTGTCTGCAGTGTCGAGCAAAGTGTAACTAAGGAAGAGAGCAGTGTAGATACCACGTTAGTACATTTTGCAGTGACTATCATCGTGTATTCTACATAATTTTTCGTCTAGAAATTTGCTTCCTACTTGCTCAGACACTTGTCTCTATCTGTATCCTTAGGAAGCGACCAGATCAAAACTGCGTGCAGTGTGATGAGGGTTTGCACTGGTGCAAACTCACTGATGGGATCGACTCCGACAAGCTGCCAGAGAAATTGTACTGCCATTTGAACCCGGATCCTCAGTTCAGGTAACTAGAGCATTCTCCAAACCCCTCTTGCAATGATAATAAGCTTCTGCGATAAATAAACTAATACAAGTGGAAAAACATGTAGTTTACATTTCTATCCACATCTCCTCTTTTTTGTACACATACTCCATAAAAGTACGTCTAGATCTGCACACACACACCTGTGGATACATCAAACCTCTTGTGACGGAGTTTTATTTGTCCGTTCGAAACATAGGCTTAGTCGGTTGTTTTAAGCTCCAAAACTTTATTTATACAGCAACAAAAAAATATATAGGCTACCGTTTGACAAAAGTGAAACAGTACAACTCAAACAAACTAAATCAAAGCTACCAAACTAGGTTGTCTATTACTCATGGAATACACACAGTCCAGCCGTTGCCTTCACTGCAACAATCTCCCGAATGACACTTCCAGGGCCAACACCGTCCCTTTTGAACCCATAGCCCCTCCCCACAGGCTTACCGTCAACAGGTTACACAATTAACTCAAAACCACATTGTCTACATTACATTTAGCTGACGCTTTTATCCAAAGCGACTTACAATAAGTACATTCGACCAGGAAGACACAACCTTGAAGAAAACAGAATCATATAAGTACATCAGGTTTCATAGAGCCAAACATTTCAAGTGCTACTCAACTGGCTTTAGGTAAGCCAGTCCTTTATTAGTATAAAAGTGCTTCGTTAATAGTTCTAACGCTCGAAGTGGAGTCGAAAGAGATGAGTTTTCAGTTTGCGCCGGAAGATGTGCAAGCTATCTGCTGTCCTGATGTCAATGGGGAGCTCATTCCACCATCCTGGAGCCAGGACAGCAAACCCACGTGTTTTCGCCGATGGGAACTTGGGTCCCCCTCGCAGCGAGTCGTTTGGCTGATGCAGAGCGTAGTGCACGCGCTGGGGTGTACGGTTTAACCATGTCCTGGATGTAGGAAGGGCCAGATCCATTCGCAGCATGGTAAGCAAGTACCAGTGTCTTGAAGTGGATTCTAGCAGTTACCGGAAGCCAGTGAAGGGAGCGGAGGAGCGGAGTGGTGTGGGAAAATTTAGGAAGGTTGAAGACCAGACGAGCCGCTGCATTCTGGATGAGCTGCAGAGGTCGGATGGCACATGCAGGTAGACCAGCCAGGAGGGAGTTGCAGTAGTCTAGGCGTGAGATGACGAGAGCCTGGACCAGAACCTGAGTCGCTTTCTGTGTCAGCTGGGGACGTATCTTCCTGATGTTGTAAAGCGTGTATCTGCAGCAACGGGTTGTAGCAGCGATGTTTGCAGTGAAGGACAGGTTGTTATCTAGGGTCACACCCAGATTCCTTGCAGTCTGAGTCGGGGAAACGACAGAGGTGCCGATGTTGATAGTCAGGTCAAGAGTGGGACAATCTTTTCCCGGAAGGAAGAGCAGCTCAGTCTTGTCAAGGTTGAGCTTGAGGTGGTGAGCAGACATCCACTGAGAGATGTCAGCTAGACAAGCAGAGATGCGTGCGACGACCTGGGTCTCTGAGCGGGCAAAGGACAGAATTAATTGGGTGTCGTCAGCGTAGCAGTGGTAAGAAAAACCATGCGGGCTAATGACTGATCCGAGCGAGTTTGTGTACGGGGAGAAGAGGAGGGGACCAAGAACAGAGCCCTGAGGGACCCCTGTAGTTAATTGACAAGGGTCGGACTCAGACCCTCTCCAAGTCACCCTGTAGGTACGGTCTTTCAGGTATGAGGTGAGGAGGGAAAGTGCAGAGCCTGAAACTCCAAGTTTTGGAGAGTGCGAAGGAGGATCTGATGATTCACCGTGTCGAATGCAGCAGACAGGTCCAACAGGATGATGACAGAGGAGAGGGATGCAGTTTTGGCAGTGTGCAGTTCCTCCGTGACAGCAATGAGAGCAGTTTCTGTGGAGTGACCTGCCTTGAAACCAGACTGGTGCGGATCCAGAAGGTTGTTCTGATTGAGATAACAGGAGAGTTGTTTAAAGACAGCGCGTTCAAGTGATTTAGACAGGAACGGGAGGAGAGAGACAGGCCTGTAGTTTATAACATCAGACGGGTTGAGAGTGGGTTTCTTTAGGAGAGGGTTTACTCTTGCCTCCTTGAGACGGTTTGGAAAGTGACCAGAAGTTAGAGAAGTGTTGATGAAATGGGTGAGAAACAGTAGAATATCAGGAGCATAAATGTACATACATGTAATCCACATAAATGTAATCCCTCAAACATGAGGAAACTATCCGACCCAAACATACACAGGTTAACTACCTCTTAACACAATCATTCCCCATAATTAATAAACGCAAAATAAATAATTGTATGGTTCATGACATCATATTGAAATCACGGAAGTGATGCGCCTCCGTCTTTTCCACATTCCCTTTGCTGTAACGTAAGTATCGTAATATAGTTAAATGCATGTTGAAATAATTGTAGACTCACAAGCGTGCACTTATGGTCGCACTACAGAAAGGAAGGGGAAAAAGGGACGTTTTAGTGATGATTTAACCTGATTTATTGACGAACGGAAGAGAGCAGGAAATGTTTGGTGTGTGTGTCGGCTGTCAGTGGCGGAGTCAGTCACTCTGTGATCCGCTCCGTCACACCTCTAAACATAAACAGATGCTTTTGAAATTATTCAATCACAATAATCATACTATTGACTCCAAATTGATCTCCAGGTGAAGATTGACTGTCTGTTTATAGCTGTAATAACTGGTATCTGTTTATAATAGCGGTGAAGCCAGATAAGCAGGGACATTGCTGGACTGCTGAGCGGTGCCTAATCAAGACAGTTGGGTTAGGGGTCACATGTGAATTGGCTTAGTAGATGTACAGTATAAGACATACCCTCTGCAGGGCGTGGTTATGAATCTCAGTCTTCCACCAAAAATACTACTCCAACTTTTGCCACTTTGTTCTGTGATTTGAAACGAGAAGCATCTAATTTTCTCTCCCAGGAGGTGCAAGGCTGAACAGGAGGCTGTGGACTCAGATGATAAAGTCTCAGATGGAGTGACACATCATGAGGATAGTGAGGAAAAAGCTGGACCTTCTTACCACAGTCTTACCTGCCAACTGCCAGACGCGCGGAGCAGGCTGCAGGAGCTGATCAGTGTGAAGGAGAGCTCCAACCAGGCCAGCCAGACCAGTGGCGGCGCCAGAGATTTTCTTTTGGGGGTGCTGTGGGGTAGCTTGATGTTTCATAGAGGGTGCTCAAACATTTAGGGTTTCCCATTAAGCTACCGGGCGCTACAGTTGAATTTTCCACTGTAACACTCCCCACACGCATACACAGTGTACCCGTGACTGTTACAATGAAGGCTCGATAATCAGCTCACGGCATATTGGTGTAAGCAGGGGTAAAGTGCTATTTTTATAAGTGGGGAGTGGACCTAACATCCTCTAGGGGGGTCCTCACCTCCTCTAGGGGGGTCTGCCCCTCTGGGAAGATTTTTTTTAATATTGAAATTAAATGCATCAATCTGGTGCACTTTGAGAGAGAAATGAGATCTATGGATCTCTCAACACCCATATGAAACAGAACTGTTTCTATTTCTTTATGGATATTTTACAAAACACTCCCCTTTTAAACTGTATTCTTGTTTTACTGTCATGTAGTATTTCATACCTGTTTTTCATTGATGCTCTTATTTCTTTATACCTATATAAACGTGTACCTAAAATACTATATTTACATTAATCGTGACCAAACCGTTTTGAGACCCATTGAGATAACTTAAAGTTAGCTATGTAAACACTGAGAGAGTCCTTTACTTCACCTGAGCTGAGGTTATCTGAGACTCTCATACCTCATTCACACCAACGGTGTTTCAGGGCCGGTTCGGAGCTGGAGCTTGAAAAGCACCGGGTTTTCCTCTTCACACCGCAGCGGAGCAGCCTCTTAGCTCCGGAATCTGGTTAGTTTCAAGCACCAAAAAAATTGTCCGGCCAGAGCAAAAGCACCACATACGTCACGCTTACGTCGAGGCGGGGGCAGAGACAGATCAACTCCTGAACAACAACAAAAAGCCCGCGTTTTATCCAGTTTGTACACAACGATGGAGAAACTTAACAAGAGTTTCAGTGTTTTTGCCATAGACTGTATAAATAAAGGTTTCTGCTCATGGTGAAGCAACGTATCTGCGTGTTAAGGTGGAACCTGAGCATTCACGTTGATCACTTCATTATAAATATTAAACTTTACATGTTCATTTGAGAACAGCTGTTACATACCTGGGTGAAGGTTACAGTTCATTTAAATGACAGATACAACGTTACTCCACACTCATGGTTCAGTCCACCTTAAGAAATAAGACCGACCTCGGAAGCAGTTGTGTTTTAAAAAAAACCTTTATTGACACGAGTACACTTTTTATAAGAATATAACTAAACCACAGAAATGACTCCGGAAAAGCTGCAGATAGAGCCATAAGAAATGAATGCAACTGATTTCATCCGCGCGGTTTGGCTTTATGAAGCAGGCACCCAACCGGTTACGTCATGACGCAAACGATGACGCAACGACGCATTACCAGTCGGACTCTGGGCGGTGTGAAAAGAGCCAGAGCTAAACCGAAGAACTGGTTCTGAACCTGAAAAGCTCTAGCACGGAGCTTGAACCGGAGTTGCGTTGGTGTGAATGAGGTATCAGTCTGACAGGAGAGAGTTCTCCCTCCACCTTGTTGAAAAAGTAGTAATAGTAATCAGCATTCTTATTTCTGTTTCAGGCAATCCCAATCTTCACCCCTAAATGCTTCTTTAGGGAATTAGATAAGTGCACTTCCACTTTTATTTAGGATAAAGCTGTACCTTGAATTCGGAGAGAGTATTTGGAAAGGCCAAAGGGGGAGGGGGATTTGTCCTCACCCAATTATTTGTATTATTGTTGGGCTGCCAACATCCACAAGCTGATGTTTTGGGTTGATGTGACGGACGAATCCCCAACTGGGGATATACAGTTTTTCTATTGTACATACTGTCCCTAGGTTCAATTCTCACAAAACACAACATCCCCTTCCATTGTTACGCCAATGATGTATAGATCTATCTGCCTCTCAAGTCAAATGTCAACTCATTACAGCTGCTTAACAGAGATAAAATCCTGGCTGAGCCCAAATGTCCTCAACCTCAACGAGAGCAAGACCGAGGTCATCATCCCCAGTTGAAATTCTGGGCTCCCTCAATAAAAACATCCTCCCCTCTGTCATGAACCTTGGAGTGACCTTCAATAGCGCTTTTACATTTGATAAGCAGGTCAGCACCATAGTTAAGACCTGCTTTTTTTTTTTTTAAATTTTTTTTAAATATGACTATTGGCCAATACCAAGTCGTTTTTATCTTTTAAAGACCTAGAAAGGGTGATTAATACCTTTGTTACCTAGGGATTGGATTATTGCAACCCTCTGTATGTGGGTATGGACCAGGCGGTCTAGTGCAGAACGCAGCGGCAAGTCTTCTCACTGGCCATAAAAAGCGTCACCACATCACCCCAATTCTGGCCTCATTGCACTGGCTTCCAATTCGGTTCCGAATTGATTTTAAACTTCTTTTATTTGTTTTTAAAGCACTAAATGGGCTGGCTCCGGCTTATTTAGTAGAACTCCTCCATCGCTACACCCCAGCCAGAGCATTAAGGTTGGCTGACCAGCTGTTGCTGATAGTGCCCAAGGCTCAAAACCCGATGGCACCGAGCCTTCGCAGCAGGCATGTGAGGTCGGTCCAGACCCTAGGGGTTTTTTTAATCTACACTTAAGACTCACTTCTCTCTGGCCTTCTAGTCAGAGCGGGGCACGACTCCTGACATTTCCCTGTGTGTGATTTTATTTTTGCTGTTGTAATTTATTGTCTTCTGGTGTTTTTATTGCATGTACAGCACTTTGGCTCGACCAAAAATCGTTTTAAAAATGTGCTATATAAATAAAACTTGATTTGATGTTTCTTCAGATATTTGCAGATACGTAGTTATGTCAGGACCCACTTCTCTATGGCAGCCCCACAGAGTACCTGGATTGATGACTGTTTAAATATGGATCCATGTGACAGGGGTCTGGTGTCTGTATTATATGACCATATTCAGAGGGTCGCCGCCCCGTTGCTTAATCACTGGCAATGGGAGGAAGAGCTGGGAATTACTATATCAGATACTATCTGGCAGGCAGCAATTATATTTGTCCACTCATCCTCAATGTGCATTAGACATGGGCTGCTGCAATTTAAGGTTTTGCATAGGTTACATCTATCTGCAAGTAAACTGGCCACATTTTACCCAGGTTTTGACCCAACCTGCATCAGGTGCAGTCGGGACCCGGCCAGCATAAGTCACATGTTTCGGCTCCGTCCAAAATTGGCCCCTTTTTGGACTGGTATATTTAAAACCTTTTCGTACATGTGTAACACGGCTGTGGATGCAAACCCATTGACAGCATTATTTGGCGTGGTCCCACAGGAGACACGAATAACTGATCAGGCTGAGGCATTCTCTACCCTACTTGCTAGACGTCTGATAAACTATTTTACTATTTTACATGCAACACCCTCCATAAAACCAAACTAGTGTTTGGCCACAGATACCAAAACACACATTACATAGTTCACAAGCCTACTATTGAATGCTTAGAAGCTGCCACCTGCTGCTTCCAAGCCACACACTCCGCCACTAAATGACCAGCGTCAAGACAAGAGAAACACAATCTCTTAGTGTCAGGACCTGGGAGAGAAACAGAATGAGCACGTGTGACATGTCTGTTACGAGCCCTACAGTGAGGATAATTGCCCTGAGGATATACTTTACCCCCGGCTATATCATTACCTATTATGACATCCACACCGTCGACAGGAAATTTGGGGAGCACAGCAACTGGAAAGAAACCAGTAGCCAGTTCAGACTGGACATGGACATTGGGAAGATGTGCGGGCACAAAACCCATTTCAATACCTCTCACCACCATATTCGCCACCACTGTCTCGCAACACCGTGACCTGCCGCTGGTCCTCCACCTTTCCTGACAGAGAGACAAAGGCAGTAGAGATGAACGGTTTCAAACACTCATCAGGACCTTTGTTAACAGTGGCCCGTCCACTAGGACACTGCTGTAACCAATCCCACCGCTTCTGGGTGCTTGCCATCCGCTGTCTGCTTTCTCTTCCAAGCTGCACAGTCTGCTATGAAATGACCAGTCATGACCAAAAAAAACAAGACGTATCTAGCTTGGGACCTGACACTGGAAAACTGGCACAGGGGACGTATGGGTCAGGAGCTCTATGATACGAGTCTCGCTGAAAAAAAAAAACGCGTGTATAAGTCCAAACTCATCTGCCAGAGTGGCAGTCTGTTGAAGGGTAGTTACTTTTTGCTTGTTCAAATAGACTACCGTACGCTCGGGTACACAGTTTTTAAATTCCTCCAACATCATCAGCTCACACACTGAGGTAATGTCGTCAGCTTTACAAGCTCTACACCATCTGTCAAAGAGGACTTTCTTCTCCCTCGCGAAGTCCACATAAGTCTGGCCAGGAGTTTTCTCCAGGCCGCAAAAACGCTGCCTGTAGGCCTCAGGCACCAGCTCATATGCCCTGAGAACCGCACCTTTAACATTCTCATACACCAAACTATCCTTGACAGAAAGAGAAGAGCAGGCCTCCTGAGCCTTGCCGACTAGCTTGCACTGTACAAGTACGGCCCACACATCTTCTGGCCAGCGCAGAGCAGCAAAAATGCGCTCAAATGCACCAAAATAGGGTTCCACTTCTGATTCACAGGGACCAAAGAAATATGTCTACTCACGTCGAAGGAGGCAGCAGGACCAGAGTGTGTAACAGCAGAATCACCCACCCCAGCTGCCTGGAGCTCTAGTTGACGCATCCGGACAGCAGTGTCTGCCTCCAACTTCCTGATCTCCAGCTCCCTCCTGAGATGAAAATCCCTATCACGTTCCTCCTTCTCCCACTGGAGACGGGCCACACGTACTTTCATTCTGGCATCTAACCTAGAGCCTGTAAGAGAGGACTGGGCAGAAAGCGGGTCAAAGTGGGGCATGGTAAAGGGCTTTTCCTGTGCACTAGCACTCCGAATACCAGGAGCATCAACGTGGCCTTCACTAGGAGGTACTGCTGCAACAGCCCCGGCCACCGTGCCAGGAGATTCCACTGAATCAGGCAGACTCAAAACCCCCTGCTCTACTAGCCCATATACCAAAGTAGCCTTGAGATCACTTTTAGTGAGAGCAGTGGAGACAAAAACATTATAGTTCAAACCGGAGAGACGTGATGTAAGAATTACATATTTATTGTT